ATGTCTAAACACTGAGATTTTTGAACAATGGGTCATTTTCGGAACAATGGGATGTCGGAATAATGGGATGTCGGAATTATGAGCGGACCCCCTTTGGCTGATGAATTCTCCACTATGTTTACCAGCTAGTTGCTAACGGTGTTTGTCTGCTGTTTGGTGCTGGGCAGGCAGTGTAAGTGGGTTGAACTGATTTTTTTGCTAAACAGGTGCCTGTGGTTGGAATTGACACTGATGAGAGTGGTAATACAGAACCAAAGCAGTAAAGTCGCGGGCTGTAAAACCAAAACAATGAGCTTAAAGGCACTAAAATGCTCCACACAGGTGAGGAGAACTGCAGAGTCATGTGTTAACTAACTTTGGGTTCACCACTTTCTTGACATCTTTCACATTACACGTAGTTAATTTATCCATTGTTAATACAAAAATACAAAAAAAGCTTTAACGTATAGGCCTGGTGTTTATTTTATATTTTTCTTACAGTCAGAAAATGAGTCCATCTTTCGAAACTTTCTGACTTCTCTGTAGGCTTCTCTGCCACGCTCAGCCACAAGAAGATTATTCTCCACTGAGGGCGTTAATCATCAAGCCTAAATAATTTTCTAAAACTGCTGGGTACTGTTGTTTTTAGTACACATAAATCAGAAAAAAATAAAACGGTGTATTTGTTGGGAACACATTTGGTGCTGTATGCGTATTTACAGCAACGTGACAGTGTATGTGGCATAGACTCAAAATAAACTACAGTGCCCATTTATGGTAATGAAGGAACATGTCACCCAGTGCAACAGTGTGGCTGATCAATGTGTTTTTAATAGTTTCTTGACAGCAATAGAAGTTGCTCAATGGCATAGAGGAGCAAGATATATCAGGCTTGGCTACACAAACAATACTTGATATTAAGATCAGTTCCCTCCTCAGTATTTTCATGGGGTTTATGGCAATAAGAAAAATATAGAATATCACCAGTGTGTTCCTTTTCAACTAGACACACAGACACACACACACACACACACATTAATGTGCTAACCTGTGGTAATCATGTGGAATGTTTTAACAAGAAATGATGTAAACCAGGACAAAAATGTGCCTCTGTGAGAAAACAGCTCCTTGATTCTGCCTGGAAACTGGATGGCAACGTTTTTTGCCAGTGCAGCCAAAACTTGGTCAACAAACATCCAAAGTGAAGGTCACCCAATGACTCTGCTGAAAGCACAGTGGAGCCTGGCTACTGGCGGTGTTAAATGAATGTCTGTTAGAGCTGCAGTTGGAGTGGCCGTGCCAGCACTTCATGCCCAGGAAGTGTGGGCATAGGTGGCAGCTGGAGACAGGACAGACCAAATACAGACGTGCTGTTTGACACACAGGCATGGAATGCGCACACACACATACACAACACACTCAGATGCCCTCCACTACTGTATATACAGATTAGAGGTGTGTATTAAACAGGGTATGTGCTAAAAGGACATTCAGCCCCTTTGTCACTAAACAAAGTATGAATCAGCTGCTGCTCCAATGATAACATTGATTAAACAATTAAATTAGTCACACTGAAAACATTTGAAGGCACAGTCCTAAAAAAAGTGGATCCTTATTGGCTGATAGGCAAACCTGATTGGATGGATTTTTGTAATACATCTATGAGGGGAGCTAATTAGGAAAAAGATTGCTGGATATATTCTGAAACTTCTAGTAAAAAATGTGGACATTTACAGTAACAAATTTAACCTCTTAAAAAAAGTATTTATTTTTAAAAAATCTTTGACAACGTGGGTAAACAGACGTTGTAAGATGAGGAAGGGTGTTGTCTGAAACGGTGAACGACGGCAGCATTTCAGATTGTGTGAGATTCTGTTTACTTCCGCCTGTCTACGTGTGAGCTCGTCAGTGTGTTTGTGTGTGTGTGGTACGAGGGGTGTGGGGGCAGCAGTAGCACTAAGAGGTGGCATGTGGCTGCGGCGTCATCGTTTGTGATGAACGCTGGCAGACTCACAGGCCACCTCTGAGCTTTAACGACAGACAGACCTGTTAGAAGCCTTTGAGGACGGGGTGAGGATGTTTCTGTTCCTGTTGATAAGGCACTGTTTCCTGTTGGACGGGTCAGCGTGGGACCACTGACATGTGCACTTCATGGGGCTACACCTCCGACGGCTGTTGTTCTCTGGATGAAGCTTTACAGGAGTCAGTCATGGAGCAGTTAATGAACTGAAGTTTAAAGCTAAACCTGCTGAGAGTTTGTATATAAAACTCTAGTTAACTCATCAGCTTTAAGTGAGTCTGCAAGAGAGTGAAGTCAACTTATCCCTGTGATGGAAATTCTATAATGTATATTTACTCGAAGTCAGATATTGTGTATAGGCATGTAAGCGCAAAGCCTATCCTAAACAGCAGTAAATGAACCATTTGTCCAATGACTCACTAGACTCAACTCTGGTTTCCTTCAGTTGAATCATCACAAACATGAGCCAACATGACGTAATTTTTTTCTTAGGATTCCAGTTTTCAGTCACATATAAACATTGCCAACTTAAAAAACTGCCCACAGTACAATTTCCAGCCTCCATCGTGGATTTTTAATAGCTTTGAAAACATGAAAACTATGTACATAACCACCTCCTGCATTTATTGTCAAATATATAACAGTATATCCACGGCATCAGCAGGCAACCATCAAGAACATTTGGATCTAAAAACAAAATTTAATTGTAGGCTAATTCATATGTAATAATACAACTTTTAGATATGTCCATTAAATATGAAACTACAACCAGGTCATGATTAGCTTAGCTTAGCTTATCTTAGCACAAGGACTGGAAACAGGGGGACACAGCGACCTTGGGTCTGTTCAAAGATAAATAAATATATATATATATGTATACAGTATGCGTATATCTGTCTACGAGCACCTATAAAGATACATATTCAGCAATAAACCTTTCAGATTTGGTTTTTGTATGGGTTAAACAAACAAGATATAACATGTAAATTAGTAATCTTTAGAGGTGCTGGTATCTTATTCCCTGTCACCCCCAACGCTGCAGGTGAATCATCTACGGCAGTGATTCCCAATTGGTCCAACCATGGGGTCCAGATTTCTCCTTAGGTAGTAGTTCGAGGTCTCAAAGTCTAATACATTAAGCGTCAGAAATGTATTGCACTTAAAGATAAAGCGTATCTAACACATTTGCGAGTCACTTGCGGTCCATTCAGAATGGGCCCATGACCCACTTTTGGATCACAACCCGCCAGCTCGGAACCACTGATCTAGGGTAGCAGTAATCCTCTGGGGTAGCCTACATATATAGCTGCTCAAAGTGCATACAAAGCATGGAGCACTCAGGGACAGTGGTTTCATGGGAGAAGCAGTACAACAGTAACACCATGTGTGTAAATATTACGATACTAAAACATACTGGTTTGTGTCATACTTTTTTTTTAAATACGCAAATTCACATTTGAATCAAGTAGAAATTTCTTCCTTGTGAACATACAGTTTTTCCATAACAACTGTTTTTGATAACAGGCTGCCATGTTCATGATGATATAATAAGATAAGTCAAGCATTTGATGATATTATGTACATGATAGTTTTCCACTTTTCACAAATGCATGTTAAATATGTGAAATATTTCCAATTTAGAAGCACATATATGCTGATTGATACACAGCTGAGATGACAAGGCTTCAGCTACCATACTTTGACATAACCCTGATAGTGTTGTTAAAATATCCGGACATATATAGTGGTTGCACTTGCTGATTTGAACATGGAAAACTGGGCTACTGGGTGGCAGAAGTCTTCGCTCTCTGAGGGCCCTGCTTGTGTTAGTTTAAGCCACATAGACACCCTCAGTGAAGGTTAGAGTCATTGTTAGATTTAGGTTTAAACTGTGTCACATTACTGTAACTTGTAGTGAGTTATTAAACATTAAGCCAAACTGCGTCATTGTGAAACAATTTCATAATAATGTATTTCCCTCCAGCTGAAAGTCAGCAGTTACTCAGCTGATGAAGTCTGATGATGACCACTTGATGATGGGAGGTGGCTGTCACACTGAGCCTCCTGTTTCACTCTTATGTATATGTGTGAAAAACATAAAGGTGAAATCAAAATTTGTCTTTTTAGAAAGCCTTAAAAATATTCACAAGGAGGCCATGTTACAGCGCCACCTAGCTTGGCTGTAAAGCCGCCTGCCTCGTGTCATTACATGTTTACTTACTGCTCCAAACCGTGGTGACAAGCCAATTGGCGTGTTGTAGGGAGACGTCAACTCGAAGTGTTAACCATGAGGCAGTGTGGGAGCTCCCGGTGTGGCTCTGTGATGCTTTCATTGGTATTTGATCCACGGCCCGCCCCTTTCCTCATCCTCCGCGCTGCGCCGCTCCGCACACCCGGCGCACCAGCGGGACAGTCCGGCTGCACCACCGGCTCCCTCGGACCGCACGAGCCTCAAACACACTGCTAATGGAAAGATAATTAAAGTGGAGTCAGGGAGAGTCCTGTTCTTCGTGTCGCAGTTTCCTTCGGTGAGTTTGTGTTCAGTTTTGACGATATATCACTACTTAATTTTCTCAGACAGACTCTCAGTGAGTGTAATACTGAGTGTTAAGTTAATGGAGACTTTTCTGTTATATTTTATATCATATTCAATAAGAGACTTTGATTTAGTTTGCAGTAGTGAGCTGAATCTGTAGTGACTTTTCAGTGCATATTGAGAACTTAATGTGTGCAATGTCATTTCATCATTGAGGGGATTTTATAGCCTATATATATCCTGAAGTATTCCTATAACATTTGTACAATATTCCTACATGTATTTTTCTGTCATATTTGTATTGTGTTCTCATATACGTACTGCTCCTCGAAGAGGAAAAATTACTTATCAATTGCCTATTGATATAGCTTCATAGGTTATGATTAATTATTAATAGCAATTGTTATTTTTTCTACTGTAGATATAGATTAATTAATAGGAGAAAAAGGCTCCTGTTGATCAGAGAAAGAGTAGTTTCAGATAAGATAATCCCATTAAGGCTTGTAAAAATGTTGACTGAAACCAAACTGTTATCAGACCTGGTGTTAATGGGCATATTGTGTTGAAGTGTAGGTTGTTTAAGTGTTGTGAGAGTCTCAGATGTCTGACATGAAACTCAATCCGCTCTGCAACATGTTTATATTCAGCAGCAGCAGTAAATTCTTGGTCAGAATAAACCCCTGCCAGTGCTTTCATATGTTGTCACTCGGCCTTGTAATTACGGTAGTTACATGACATAACCTATCAATTTTCATACATGTCACCGTAATGACCGAGATGGGCTCTGACTGAGTGGAACATGACAGGGTGAAGTTGAAGTCGGTGGCCTTGAGGTGTTTTAATTATGGGGACAAACAGACAGAGCAGTGTTGGACTTGTTACAAGTTGGGGGGAGGCAGTGGCCTTTTGACCCCTGCATCCTGCGAGCAGTCCACGAGGGAGGCCACCATGTGAAATACCACACACACACACACACACATTGATTGAAGAGCTTGCTTGCCCTGCTAATGCCCGCCAATAAACAAACATCCCCAGTGGTGATCAATAAAAAGCCAGTCTGCTTCAGTGATAATAACACAGAATCCATTCTATGACGTGCAGTGATGAACTCAGACTTCATGTGACTTTTCATGTTTAACTGGCGCTCAGTCTACCCAGAGTAGGCGTACTGTACATCCTCTATGAGAACATGCTTTGATATTTCGATGTCAGCCTCTTGTATGCACTCAGCTCAGCCAGCAGCAAATGATTAACACATGTTGTATGTTTCCTGTACATCTCCCTCATATGATTTACACTAATGATACAGGTCTTGATGAAGTAAATGAGTGCAGACATTCACTGTGGTTTTCCCCCCGTTTTTTTTTTTTTTTTTTTACCTGAGTTCAACATTCCTCCGAGGGGGACCCTTCGTGACCTTTGGGTGTCATTGACGCAACCAACCAGGAAGGGGTTACTTGCAGAGGTGCGAACTCTGAATCCGGCTGCTGTATTTGTTTTCACACCACTGGGTTCCTTGGCTCTTTTTTTTGCCACACATGATGATGTTGGGAAAACTGCTCCTTCATGGTCCGTCGTTACTAAATGGTCACAACTCACTAATCTGACAACATGATCCAAACCCCCTGTAGTCGTCATATTTTATAAGTTAGTATTCAGTGGACTGTGTGGGTGAAATAAGACAACATTTTTGACCAAACCACCATGATTTTTTCATTTGAAAAACAGGAATAGGCTCGGGTCTGTTTGTTGATTGGCTGCTGTCCAGAATTTGACTGCATGTGGACCTTTCAGATGATGATTGATGTGGACAGTTTTATAGTTTCTTCAGCTCTGTCTAGTGTAGCTCTTCTCCCCAAAAGTATACAATATACTGCATGAAACTTACAACATGTTGTGCTGTGAGTTTGTGTGATAAGAACATGGAAAACAAAATCAGTGAGGTCATTGCTTCATGTTGAGGGATAGTAGCCAAGTACTCAACTTAACTTTAGGCCTTTTTTTTTTAACTTTTGAAACTGTGCCAGCTGCTTATCATTACTCTAAATTGCAAATGCGAGAATTTCAACATGGAGCACCAGCAGAGACATGTGGTTAGAACTCTCAGATACTGGATTTCTGAGGCCAGTATTGTTGCTGATATCAGTGTTTGAGGGTTTATGAAATGTAATAAGAAAATATCAGCTGATGCCTATTGTTATGTGTGGTTGTTTGCTTTTTTTGCTGACAGTTATATGAAAAGATCACTTGCAGATATGTAGAAACGGCAACCTCCGGCACTGAAAATGAAGCCAACGTGAAAGTGCCAAAACCTGTAGTTCCTTCAAAGGCTGCTTGAGACTGGCTCTAGAAGCAAATGTATATTTAAGAGTGGAGCCACTTGAGTGACAGGTTGTTGGTGAGGTGCAGCTACTGTACAGTCTGTGAGTCAGATCCACCCCTTGCTCCTCCACAGCCCCAGCCTCTCATCCAAATATGGTCACTTCTGGCTTCAAAAAACTAATATGGCAGTAATGCCAAACTCATGGTTTCAAAACCAATGGATGATGTTGTGGTAGCTATGTCCATTATTTTTTACAGTGTATGGTATGTGTAAGCTAAATATGAAGCTACAGCCAGAAGATGGTAAGCTAAGTGCAAAGACTAGAAACAGGGGGAAACACCTAGCTTGGCTCTGTCCAAAGGCAATCTCAGAAACCATCAGGTATAGGTCCAACGACCATAAGCCTCTTCGGGCAGTGGCCAAATTTTGGGAGATGTGATGTAGCAAGGGGATAGCTAAGCCAAGACTTTCTCTTCCTTGTGGCGGCCATTTCGTCTAATCTTTATAAACACATTTGTGCATGTGAGTGAAGATAATTTAAAAAAAAAAAAAAAGCTTTAAAAAAGCAAAATTGTTGTTAGATGATAGCTATTGTGTTCCGCCTCTCCACACAGACTATTTACCTGCTGCTCAAACGTGATTGGTCAGTACTGCTCAAAATGGAAACCAGAGCACTTCCTAAACCAAAAAGTTGTCCCCTTGCCTACAGATTCTGCATACATGTGCAGATATCTGTTTACAGAGATTAGTCCAAAGGTTACAAAATCTGTCTTCCAACACTTAGCTATTGAGCTAACCAGCTGCTGACTCTACCTTCATATCTATCATCGGTTACAGATATGAATAGGGCCTAGTACCTGTCTTCTCATCAACTCTCAGCAAGAAAGCAACAAAGCATAATTTCCAAAATGTCAAACTATTCTTTTCAAGCTGGACACAGAAAATAAACTTTTCACTGCTCTCTGGTGGACAAGCTATGTAATGGTTTCACTATTTCTACAGTAAATGATCTCAGACATATCAGTATACAGTATGAGTAAGATAAACTGACAGATACTATCAGTCATGTACATGTTTCAGTCTGGCTGCAGTGACGATGTGCTCTCATCACTTAACTGATAAACTAACCAATTTTCAAACTTTCTTTAAACACCTGTAATATCAAAAGAATAGAGAGGGAATGTGCATGTGTGAGTAGAAGAAAGGGAGAAGGAAGGAACACAGTTTATGTATGTGCGCAGTAGAGATATAAACTGAAAGAGAGAGGCAACAAAGAGGGCAAATTGGGACTGCCAGCTCCAGCAGATGCAGGAAGCAGAGAGCCTCAGAGAGTATGGATATTTGTTGAAGCACGAAAATGTTTTCTTGGCTGAGGAGGAAGTGTAGCAGTGTTTTGCTTGGATTCAGACCGAGCATGGATGGCGAAAATAGGGATGTAATTGAAAGTCAAAGAGTGAGCTTGAAAAATGCGGCCTTATCTTGTATGTTTGTTCACCTGGTTAGCGGGGTTAGTGAGTAAAGGACATGAGAAGCAGAAGGAAGGGAGGGGGAGACTCGCCATGAAACACAAAGTCCATGGCTGATTATACTCAAGACAAACTATAGCAGAGTAAACATTTTTGAGTTTAAGTCATCAGAAGTACAGATTAATGGGTGTATGTAGGCCTAACAGCTGGTTCAGCCTTCCAAAGTCAGTCAAGACACTCAAAGAGAAGCAAAGAAAAGAAATCAAAGGGACGGAAGAAGAGAGGAATTGAAAGAAAACAAACAGGGACATAAAAAGAGAAAAGAAAAAAGAGGGTAAAGAGAAAAAGCAGAGAATGGAGAGGAAAAGATTCAGAATGAGTGTAAAGTGAGTAGAAAAGGAAGAAAGAGAAGATAGAAGTTGAGATGAAGAGAAGACATTAGAAGGCAACAATGGAAAAGAAAAGACAAAGACAAAGTGAGGAGAGAGGAGAATGAAAGCAAAAAAAAGATGGTTCAGACCGAAACGTGGTTTCAATCAGCGCTGAGGTTGAGAAGAAGGATGTTTGATGGTCGTAATCGAGAGAGAGACTCCACCGACCGATGCTCTGCTCAGGAATGTGTTCGTACACACACATACACACAACACACACGGCTCCTATTAGACTGTGGTTACTCTGGTTTATATCCAGCAAAGCCACCTCAAGCAAATACTGTACATAGTGACATGGAAATATTTTATTGAGCCCGTCTGTGATGTATGAACGCGCCGAAATCCCCTGAATGGTGAGTTGCCCAAGGAAAGCAACTCGAAGCTTCAGCAGAAAGATGAACCGAGCATTTTAATGCAAATATGCATTTTCATAACAAACTGGAGCTGTTTTCCCATCAACAGTGATTAAGTCTGGTCTACTGATGTCTCGCTGCAACATTTCTGGGTATTGACATCCGTTTTCAAACCACTACTACGAAGATATGTGTTTAGATCTGTCGGGTATACAGCGTTGAAAAAAGCTCACAATCAGTATGTGACACAACGTCAGCCTCCTGTTTTTTGCTCAAAGTCATGAAAACATCAAAACATTTTATAAATCATGAAGTTGTCTATAATACATCCAAGTCTCCAAACTAGATTCATCTGATAAGTGGCAAGAGTCACAAGACTCTACAGGACAAAAGACATGCTAACTATGGTTTTGCACGGTGCTTTAATAGGCCTTTTTCACACCAGACAATTTGACATGACACAGTTGCACACTACACAGGTGCAATTAATGAAATGAATCAGAGCTGAATTACATTTAGCTGCTTTGATTTCAGGATCCTTGTATCCTGCATGCTTGAATAGATCAGAGCCATCATTAGTGTTACTAAAAAAAACTGTGTTTTTCCTACTATGACAAGTCAAAATGTCTGCTGTGAGAAAGGTACAATGAATGAAATGCTAATGGAAGCATGCTAACATACTCACAATGCTAACATGCTAAGGCATAATGTTTACCATGTTCGCCAACTTAGTTGCTAAATGCTAAAATTTGCTAATTACTACTATAACTACTTGCTGGTATTTGGTAGAAAACCAAAGGATTGGACCTATGTGATGGTGCTAGAGGGAAATTTAAGGAATTAGCAAAATTAGGGGGAATGGGAAGGTATGTCATGCTCTGTGGGAAAGGGCGCCATCTTGTAAAGAAAGCACTGTTAGGCTATCAATAGCCCCTCTTACACTGCCAGATTTCCTGCAAATATTGGGCCGTTTTGCCGGCAAGCTGCGAGCGTTTAGACACACAGAGCCGGATTGGCGAGTTGATCCGAGGTGCCCAATTTTCCACCTCGTAGGGTAGTCATATTGGCGCAACCCTTTTAGTTTAAAAAGACCGAGGAGGCCTTCCGCAATGGGAGGGGCTGTTGAAGACTTGTGGGAGGAGCTGTTGATGACGCCGCACATGCGAGCCACTGGCGGTGGATAAACAGGAAACAGCTGATAGCAGGAATTAGCGAGAGCTAGTAGCAAGAGGGAAACACAAACCTGACAGACACTGTAAAGATGAGCAAATGGGGAGACAAGGAATTGCGCGCCATCCTTGTCCTCGCAAACAAAGAGACCATTAACCATCAGATGACAGGAACGGTGAAGAACGGGCCGACTTACAAGAGAATTGCCCAAGGACTGACCAGCCGCGGCTCCCCTCCCACATTACTGGTTACGTCACACGCTGAGCTACACATTTTGTTACTTGCTCACGCTCACCATTGCCCTGAAAAAGGCACATTCTGTATAAACAAAGGTAGGCGGCATTTTGCCGCACTCCCCGATTTTGTTTTATACTGCCAATGCTGAAAGAAGACTGATTGGGCTTTCTTGCAAATTTGCACAATTCCTATCCAAAAAGGGCTTTTGTGTGCTATGGTAGTTACCTGCTTACCTTTTACAGGATGGCTGCGAGTCCTTAAAAACTCAAAATGTCTTGAATACACACTGACTAATTGTCTTAAATTCAGATTGGATGGGTCTAAAATGTTTTTTAATCACTTCACTCTGAGAATTTCTGTCGTTGGCACTATAGGAAACATAGTTTTAACAGGAGGGAAATGCTGTGGGGGAACAGACTTTGACACACCACCTGTGTAAGAGGGTTTGAGTTTGAATCTGTTGGCCAGCTTGGGCCTCTTTTGTGTCAAGTTTGTGGGTTGTGTTGATTTTCTCTGGTTTCCTTTCACAGTCCAAAGACATGCAGGTTAGGTGCCCGTAGATGTGATTATGAGCTTCTGTCTCTGTGTGTCAGCCGTGTGATAGTCTGGTGACCTGTCCAGGGTGCACCCTACCTCTTGCCCAATGTCAACTGGGATTGGTTCCAGTCCCTCTGTGATCCTGAATAGCGTTAAGTAGTTACATGCAGAGTTAAAAGTTAGCACAGGTCACCAGCCAAATGCGGTAAAATATGCAAGTGGCTGCCAGATTTGCTTCACTCACCAGCCGAATAAAAGTAATCTATTGAGTGGTTGGTAGATTTTGGAATCCACCACCCACGGTGGCAGGTGGACAGGAAAGTTAATTTTCAACCCTGGTTACAGATGAGAGGAGACTTTTGAATTCAGCAAAGTGTATGCACACAGTATAAAAACAATCTAAGTGAGTGGAGGTAGTGTGTCAGGGTCTGTCATATAGGCTGCCAAGTCACATGGATCTATGTTGTTCATTGTGAGTAGTTTGTCCAGATACAGTTGCTTGGCATTGCAATTCAGTTTCTCCCAGTAGGGTCCCTTTCCTTTGTCTTTTCCCTTCTCTTGACTGCCAAGCAAAATAAAAGTTAAGCAGGTAACCACCTTAGCAGTTATAAATTATAAGATGAAGAAACAATGACATAAGAAAGGTGACTTTGATATGTGTTCCAAGACTTTTGTCCATTCACTAAAACCTTACTGGTTCTTTTATGTCTTAGTCTGGATATGTCTTTCCTTTCTTTTATGTCCTATCATTCTGCCCTCCTCTCAACACATTGCATCCCCTTGTTTCCTCTCCTCTGACCTTTTCTCTGTGACTCAGTTCTCTTAGCATCCCTTCCTGTCATCTCTTCTGCCTTGCTTTGGCATTCTCCCCCTTCACTCCTTTATATGAAAATGAAACTGACTTTTTACATCCCCTGCTTCCCTCCTATGATCACTCCTCACCCTGCCCCCATTTCAGTTTGAATTGACTCTCTCCCTCCCTGAAACTCATCTTGTATTTTATTTCCTCTACTCTGACAGGAATCTGAACCAGTGGAGCAGCCGTCCAGGGGAAGCAGCCAGGCCTTGCTTAAAAGAGGCGCCCTACCGGGGGTAACGGAGAAGATGAAGGATTAGAGGATAATCTAGGGTACGTCCGAGTCCCTCCTGTCGAGAGCTCCCCTATTCTTTTCTGATATCCAAGACGCAGGCAGGCAGGCTGCTACTGGGATTATAGCGTTAAACTAATTACCTTTTAAATAGTCAAAATATTGGGGTTTTTGTGCTCGTGGTGCTTTTAAGTACATTTTATCTGAGGCCTGAGGGTGCTGGTTGCCGAATTTCCGTGACTCAGAAAACAGAGAGCCCGTGCAGAGAGGAGCGAAGGAGGGGATAGAAGCATATGTGCAGATAAAATGAGCTTTGCCCAGAGGGTCCAGATATACAAGAGGAGTCGGAGGGAGCGACCCCCTCTGAGCTGTGGTCAAAGGTCTTTAACAGGATTACAGGCAAAGACAAAGCCAGAGCTTTCCGTAAGCACACAGTCAGAGTAATTAATGGCCCTGTGTGTATTCCTGTAACACTGTAGGATATCAATTAGACTGAGGTTTTCCTTGTGCAGCCTAGAACAAGACAAACTATTTCCCTCATTGGAAAGAACATAGTGCCATTGTGTCTGTGAAGGCTGTCACTGAGGAGTTGTAATCAGAGAGGTGACCTGTTGCTTCTGCTAGGTTCATGGGAACGTGCGCAAAGTCCCTGCAGGCTAGAGCCATCTCATATGAAAGATCACACCTTGGTGTACTGGTCCCTGGCGTCCCTTTGTGAGCTTTGATATGGCTCTGCTCAGTGCTGGTATGTGCTGTGTTTCCACCCTCTCCGCTCCCAGATGCCCCTCTTAATACGCCAGCCAGGGGAAGTGGAGCGAAGGGCCTGGGACTGCGGTCAGCAGCAAATTAGAAGGGCTGCCTTGGACCTGACGCAATCCCCCATCTCTTGAACCGTAGCAGGTCATTAATGAAGCCAGACGGGGCCGTGCATGCGTGGGAGGCCTGCCGACATTTAGCTGGTGTAGTGGAAAGCTTTTAAAAAGAACCAGAGGTCCTTGTCAGGGCTGCCTTATGCTATCAAAATATTTGAGAACTGGATATCCATTACTCTGCTGGCAAAGAACAACACATGAAAGAAGGCCAATTTTTTGTCCGCCTTCATTACAGACTTACAGACTTAGGGAAGTGTGGAGCTCCAAAATCGACAAAAGGCAGTAAAAGGCTGTCAGTCAACTCAAAAACACAGCTCAATATATCAAGTAATAATGCTGTTACTCAATTAATACAATTGGGGTGCAAAAAGTAATATAAAGCTTTATACTTTTTCTTTAATTTCAAATCAGTTGGTAAAAAAGAGAGATAGATAATGGATGCTAATATTATGAAGACAGAAATATGCACTGTATCCACAATTACATAGTAAGCACTCCATAGCCAATGCATAGGCTACTAATGTTGAACATACTGTGCAAAAAACACAGTAGTATGTATCTTTTCCGGCCCACTGAGCTGTAGTTACCACGTCACTTCCTGAGAGCCTCCTTGTCAGTTGGAGACATGTAACCATGGTAACCTGTGCCAACCTGAGCTCCATCGGTAATTTTGAAATAATTTTAAAACTATATTACACTTAACAAAGTGAAATCTTATAAGTTTAGATTTATGAGATTGACGTTAGAGAGCTGTCTTGGTTGCTATCTATTATGAACATTTGTTGCACTGAATTGTCGGATATTTATGCCGGCATAGTGTCCAGTGTTTGCATTCTGTATCATTTCACCGAAAATAGTATGTAATCCACATACAATTTTTTTCATACAAAGGTTTCAGGCACTCTAAAAAATCTTACATACTGTTTTAGCTTACTAAATACCATGTTAGTATGGAATTTTGGACAAAACCGTGGTATCTCAAGAATGCTAATTTCCGCTAGCCAGCCTACTTTTTTAGTGTTACCTTGCGGGCCAAAACATTTTAACTACTGTAACGAGAGTTTGTACAGTAACACTGGAGTGTGAGGTACAGCTGACTGAAATTATCTGCACAAAAGTTAGCTTTAGCTAGGTAGCTAACTGAAAAGGCCAGTGCCATGGATGTATTAGAGACATGGATACAGTGTTGGAGGCAGGACCCGTTCATTCCTATGAAAGCCAAAAACAAAACAAAAAACATTCAGCTGCCACGTAGGAATTTATTTTGATAATTGGCGCTGCTTCTGCGTCATTGGACCCATAGAGCAAGCGCACTTGAGACTCTACAGTGCTCTGCTAACTTGAATGGAGATAAAATGATGTGATCTTGTGGATCTTCTAGACCTTCCAAATGTTATCAGACAGAATGGATAAAATCCCTATAGTGACATGAGTCATGTCGTGGGAGTTGTGACTTACAGTTGTCTTTATCCCAATGTTAAGTCTATGGGAAAAGTTCCTTTAGGCCCAATGGCATCACGTGATAGATCGGAAGTTGTAATTCTACTGTTTGGCTACTATGACAAATTGACTTCAAAGTCCGTTGCACTTCCTGGGGGCCTGGCTGTCGCTCACTGTACCTCTCCGTAAAGCTAGCGTGCCACACAGTCCTCTCATTGCTCCACTGATCCAAAGCACACACAGGCAAAGAAAAAAATGTGGGCTAAATGAAAATAGAAATAACTGCAACAAATTGAGCCAGTGAAAGATAAATAGAAGAGTAAAATTAATTTCATCCACATATTGAAGGCAAAGGGGGAAAAAACAGGCTTTTATCTTTCTTTTACCAAGTGGAGTACAAATATTTATTCTTTTCACTCACCATTTGAATTAGTACGATTAATTAATGCTTTCCATTTCTTAAGTTGTACGATAATCTTTAAGTGCTTTCAACAGTGCCGGGGCTCTGTACACAGGCAGTGTAGCAGTACAGTTAAGTAGCAGCAGTGGTTTTCTTATCAGGAAATGTTCATTATCTCTTCCTATCTGGCGTAGCATACTTTGCCTGTTTATAAACAAAGCTAAGGCTGTTGAATAAGAGCTGCTGCTCGGCTTTAAGAGCGTGATAAGTCTCTTCAGTGAAATGTAAAATGAACTTTGTGTAACCTTCACGCCAGACAAAGCAGGACAAAATGGAAGCAGGAATTCCCTTAAAAAGTCCACCCATTTTATGGACAAGAGGCGGACTTTGGTTTGCTACACAGAGGAGTGTCTGTGGTCTAAATTTAGATGGTTCCAGACCAGCGAAGCTTTGGAATCCTAAAAACCTGCAGAAAGGCAGATCTAGTTTACATATAGTATTCAGCACAGTGGTCTCTCACTCAATCTCAGCTTCCACAGAATAAACTGCAAATGTCATACGTTTCTCTCAACATCCCTCAAAATCAAATACATCCCTGTCTCCTTTTTAAAGATAGATGTTTTTTCCCTGTTTTTGCTCTCATAGATGGTTCCATGGTGCGACCGCAGAACCGTTTGCAGCTGGACTCAGACCTATTTCTGAGCTGATGTCGACAAAGCCAAAGCCCAAGGCAAGCGGGGGAAACCAGGCAACCTGACCACACTCCAACTGGCTGTTTCCAGGAACACAACTGCACAGTGTTCTCCTCAGTTTATGGCCGTTTAATTCAGCCAGCTATGCATAACAACGAGCTACAAAGAGTGGGACAGAGTTTGGCCTGCACATGATAAACACAGATAATATTCCAGTGAACTATTTGGCGATGCAGGCCTGGAGTTCAAGCTTTCACAAATTACACGTTTTCAAGATCTTGGAATAACCTTTCAGAGCTATTTCTTAGGTCCGTACTTTGGACTGCTGGACTGTCAAAGCTTTTGGCTCAAATCTAAGAGGAGAAACATTCAGTTTTGCCATTCACTGGGATTAAAGGCAATTCCAGACATTGTTCAACGTTGATTTTCAAGAAATACTAAGCCATTCACCTCTTGTGAACATGAATCTTCAGGAAAAGCTGTCAGGCCTAAAAGGTCTGGTCACACACTCCCACAGCAAGCGCCGCTATAAAGGCGACCTCACGTTGGATATGATTAGCCCTCCTTTGGGTGACTTCCGCCACACCATGCACGTCGGCCGTGGTGGCGACGTATTTGGGGACACCTCCTTCCTCAGCAACCACGGCGGCACGGCCAATGGGAACAATGGGGAAACAGATTCTGTCTCCAGCCCTGACAACAAGATCGGAGCGTTCTTCTCCAGGACGCTGCGTCACATCAGGAGGGGCTCTGAAAACCGTGCCACAGCAGGACCCAAGGATCTGTCTCCGCCGCCTCCAGTCGTTTCTCCCATCATCAAGAATGCCATCTCCCTCCCCAGGCTGGATGTGGATATGCCGAATGGGAGTCCCACTGCCAAAGTGCTCTTCCCCAGTTCTCACAGCACACCAGAGGACAAGAAAAGCTCTTATGGTGAGTATGGTGATAGCCTGTGCATATTTTTTAAAGATGGTATGATCAATATTTTTACATCAGCAATGTATCAGACAACTTTGTGTGTGAAAGGGGTCGGTCATGGTGTTTTCTGTTTTAGTTCACTCTCATTTACGGATACAGCAGACAGCTGTTTTCAGCAATACTTAATTAATCCCACTTTATGCTACCTACCCATATGAGCAAAAACGTGTTAGTGTTGTTAAACAAATTAAACATTGTAGGTGATCTACTGAGGCTTCTGTTTAGGTGAAAATGTGTCTTTTACACAGGATTTCTCCCCCTTAAAATGACTGAAGCTCATTGGGCTTTTTGCTTAGTGTTTTGGATCACTGGAAAAGTGCAGTTTATCTACCCCTGGGAATTTCTTGACATAATGTCCTGTCATCTTTTTTTGCTCAATCATTTGAGGATTAAGAAAAAGTGCACCACCAAATCCAAAAATGGTCCCCGAGATTAAGGGTAGATGTTTCCTTGACATTAAATGGCACTGTGGTTGCACAAAGTGAAACACAGGGGTCAAATGAGTTAACCGGTGCTAAGTGGAAAACTGCAGAGAAGTGGAAACTGTCTGCAGAGCTGCAGTGAAACTCATCTATCAGTTCTACTCGCTAATCTAGACAGATTTCCCCCAGATGTCCTTATGAATCACCTTGGTTCTTAATCAGCAGCGCTCGCTCGCTGATAACACACAGAGATCCAGACAGAGCTGGCAACAGGCCGTCTGAGTGGCTCGCATTAATACCAAACTTATGGCTCGTGTGTGTGTGTGTGTGTGTGTGTGGTTTTTATATGGAGTTGTGTACGCAGACATTCTTATCAAAAAATCTTAAACTAAAATCACATAATTCACAGCTGACTTTTGTAGGGAAAACTGGAGCAACTCTACTCTCTAGTAATTACGCATTATGACACAGGGATAGGAGAATCTGCAAGTTAGCATCCAAATAATTCCCTCATAAGCTGGTTTCACCAATTACTGCTTTCTTGCAATTGGTTATTTAGCCCCCTTCTTGACAAGCTATGTTGATATGGTTGGTACCAATGGGTGCATCACGTTGCCTAGTAGTCACAAAATACCACTACCTTCATGATAGCTTAAAAAATGAGCGCACCACAGCCTCTTAAAGACAGTAATATCAGCCAGTAATATCAGCCCCTAATTATTTTTGCAGGGGAGGCCAGCAAATTGTATCAAGGGAGGCCCCCCCAGCTCCGCCCTGTCCCTAGTTGGTATGAAAAACCTCCCGACTCATTGCCCTTTGCGACTGGGATTGAGAGATGCTGTGGTAATTTTAGCCCTTTGGGTCATGGAGGCGGCAGTGTGTGAGCGTGTGACTTGTTAAGTGATCTGGCACGGTCGGGTAGATGATTCACTGTTCACAGGGCAGAACAACTCAGCACTTTGCTGGCTGGGGTTTGCTGGCAGGATGTTTTCAGATGGGTTTACATCGCCCCCTGTTGGAATTGTTTGATAAATCATGTGAATAGTGTGACTGAATTTTATTTAGTGTTTGAAACAAGGCACAACCACATAAACAAAATACATGCCACTGAATGTCCTGTATCAATCTGTGTCTGCGTCCTCAGGTCTGGAGTCTGGTTTCGTCACTCTGCCTCGTCTCTCCCGCGCTGAGCGACAGCAGCCCTCCATCTCCCTCCCCATTTCCTGCCCCCCTAACATCCACCGTGGCTCCCTGACCGACCCCACTGAGGCCATCTTATCCACCTGCTCCACCTCCATTGTGACCTCTGACCCCAAACCCACCTCCACTGCCTTCTCTGACTCCCTCCCTTCCCTCACCTCTCTGGACACCTTCACCTTTGACCTCGGCCCCTCCCTCATGAGCGAGGTGTTGGGCCTGATCGACGGCCACCCAGAGGAGCACGGCCACACCTGGGAGGGAGAGGAGGCGGGGTCAGCGTGCGGGCTGACCAACGAGGGATCAGAGATGGACTCGGCCACTATCTCCTACGTGGATTCCCTGCTGCGAGAGGACTGTGGGGGCAGGAAGAGCCCGCATGGGGCCGAGTGGGAAGAGGAGGGGATGGAGGTGAACGGAGTCGGGCTTTCTGTCAAAGTACCTGATGTGGTGATGGGGTCTCCTGAACGAGTGAGGTTGGGGATTGGGATGGAGAGTGAGCGGTTCCAGAACGCTACAGATGTGCTCGCGCGTCACTATGGCGTCAGCCACTTTAAGGGACAGAGCCAGATGGAGGTTGCAGATTCAGAGATGATGATCACCAGCCACTCCAAGAACAAAATATCCTACAGTTACATGGATGACGAGGATGAAATTAAAGTCTGAGCCGAGCAAATCTGAGACATTTTGACACTAAAGAACTGTTGCTGATGTATGATTTCTCTGTAATTCCAATCAAATCAATCATCAAAAATCTTTTTATGGTGAACGAGGCTGGCTCTTTGGACAGGATAACCATGAAAACTCCAATCCAATATCCTTAATGTTGGATCCTTTACTTTAATACAAATCATGCTTCAAGGATGTACAGTTCGGATGAAAAACTGTTGCTGAATGTACCTAAAAGGAGGGAAAGACTTGGTGCCGCACGTTTCCAAGCCCAGCACAGAGAGGGAGAATGCTTTTTTCAAAGGACAGGACTTAAAAAGGACTGAAACAAAGAAGAGGCGTGGACAGCAAGGATGTGCCAGAGAATGTGGATAAGATAATCTCAAAGGAAACGTCAACATAACTCAGTGTAGAAGCAGTCATTTACTTTATACTTTTCACACTTCCTCACATTAGAGGGGAAAAGATGTTCAGTGTGTGTCCCAGTCACTCACGAGAGAGGAAGTAGGGATTAGAAAAAAAAGATTTAATCTTATTACAGCCTTTAGGCCTCACTACAATCTCCTGTCAACTCCTTTCACTCAGGAATACACTACTAGGAAACAAAAAGGGAAATAAGAAATCTGGAATCTCAGGCCTCATTAGATAAACACATAAAACATCTCAGTTATTAGACTACATGGACTGAGGGAATATGACAAGTAATACTGGTATTTGCTAGTTGCAACCAAAGCTGAACCATATAATTGGTCATTGTATGCTGCAGACTTTTATATATAGAGACTCCTTGCACCTTTTATGATTATGAAGTCCGACTCCTGTATTACTTTTTAAAGCAGAGTTGTCATTTATGTGTTCTTTTATACAATGAAGATATTAACTGACCTCCTATAAATATGTACTTACAGTATGAGCGCCTGCAGCACATAGTGCAGTTCACATCCATATGCTGCAGTCAATACCAATGATATATTATGATGATATAAATTGACAATAAAGATGTTTCTAATTAGGTTGAATATGCATTTATTTACATTTTTTACAGGTCTAATTTTGAAGGTTGATTTACAGGAATAACCCAAAATCTTGAATCATACATCAGGAGGTGGTTGTAAAAAGTTTATTTACATTTTCCTGTACTTAATGAGCTCACATGAACACTATTAATTTGTATATTTATGGAAAAAAGCCACCCTGAAAACAGCACACATAGCAACTGGCAATCAGTTTGGATGGCTGGATTAATTTATTGTGTAGCTAGATACCAGAAAGACTCGCTCTCTGGAAATTACTTTGCACACTGAGAAATATTGGACATCAGTAACTGAAGTATAAATAAATGTAGCTGGTTACAGAAATGTTTGTAGACCCAACAAAAGGAAATTAAGCTGCAACACTTGAAGGAAGATAGTGAACAGCACAGACTTACAATAACGAAACCTTTATGTTTAAAGGGGACCTATTGTGCTTTTCCTTATTTGCTGTCATATATATATAATGTTAGAATGCGAGACGTTCATGTTAAATGTGGCCAAAGTTTCAAATAATGAGGTAAATGTATGTAAAAGTAATCCCTGTAGGCAAAATCCTCAGTACACTGCTACATGTAGCTACATGCTAACGTCAGGGAAACATGTATTCTTGGTTGCCAATGTTCCTTTCTTCTCCGATTCCGGTCAAATTTATGTTGGAACGTGTCTGGTTGTGAGGATTTTGGTTCATAAGCTTTTATTGGTGATTTTTCATGGTAGACGTTTTGCTGACCATACCCTGGGCTTAAAGAGACAGGCGCTAAAATGGAGCGTCTCAGACAGAGGGTGAATACAGGTGTTCCAGCACCGACAGAAAAGGAAAGGAAAATGAAGAGCTCTTTGAACATCTAAGCATGTAAACATGTTCTAGTAGAAACCCAAAATACACGTATGAACCTGAAAATGAGCACAATAGGTCCCCTTTAAAGAGCAACTTAACATCAGACTGAAAAGCAGTGTTTTGCTGCAAACTCTGGTTGATAGATTTAACCCTGTGTTACACCGGACCACAGCCGGCATCACTGATAGGTGTGATACAAGAAAAACAACCTTATTAATGAATGACACATATGTCATTTTTCTCACTGTGCTTAAGAAGGAACTTCTTTTGCCTGTGACGGTGGAGGAAGAGGCGGAGGGCAGTTTGGGGCTCTGAGTCCAGGCTTTTTCGGAGCAGGCTTTTTGAGGTTGGCCGACACAGCTCGAGGCGCAGGTGTCGGGTAGGTCCTTGTGTCCGCAGCAGCCGGTGCTGTTGTGGGGGGTGGAGGGGCCTGGAGCTTAGGAGGCGCTGGAGCTTTGGGTTTAGAGTACTGAACTGTTACCTGCTCGTTAGCTTGGTTGCCTTTGGTCACGTTGAAACATCTCTTTGCTGTAGGATGAGAGACAGAAGACAGTGGGGTTACAGGGATGCCACATGGGGGCGAATAGATTAGGGAAAGGGTTGTGATGCAATGCAAGACAGTTATCTACAACACGTTATCTACCCATGAATTAACCAAAAATGTAATGCAATTTTAAACTCGTTATATTAAAAAGTCTCACCGCTATGCTGCTTTCAAGTTCAAGAAAAGAAGTCTAACATTCATCTTACTGCTAAAGACATCTGCATTACTTTTCATTAGGAAGCAAATCCTAGAACACAAACTACACTCACATATGAGTTAGTGTTGGTGAAGGTATATGCTCTACCAAGAACTTTGTACTTTAGATTATAAAGTACCTCAGTTGGTTGTGATGGAAAAATCAGTGAAACACAACTTAACACAATGTCAGAAACAGTAAAAAACAAGTTTGTCATGGGAATCAGTTTCATAGTCAGACAAACATATCAGGAAGGGACGACTTATTAGGGAAAGTATTTCAGCCTCTACCCGCACTTGAGGCAGTTACAACAATGTGAGAGATGACGCATGACCCTAGAGGTTTATATTTTGGTCAATGGTGTGAGACTTCCTGTTTCCTACTTCCTGGTTGTTACAACAAGAGCAGCAGATTTATTTTCTCTCTGTCAGCCCGACGTGAAAAGTCGCCACTTTAGCTTTGTGAGAGGACAAGGGTTAGAAGTAAAGAATCTGCACAGGACATTACACAATAAATAGAGACAAATGATTAATGAAACGTGCTTTGTGCCCTCAGCCCAAAAACAAGAGTGAGTCAAATTTGACATGTGAAGATTGCTTTACTTGTCATGAAGAGTACTACCCAGCTCATGAAAACTTCTGTGGCTCTTAAAGGAGCTTTTTAAAATCTCAGAAAATAACCCTGATGATGTAATGGTGATGTCATCAAGGTAATCTCAACTTGGACTTAAGGTCTCAAACTGTTAACAGCAATTCTGTGTTGTAAACTTGAGGTGTTAAGTTTGAAAAATGTTGGCATTTACCAAACAGGAAGGGTGTAACAAAAGACACTTGATTTGCATTATGGGAATGTAGGATCCAGTTTTTGTGGAGCTAAGAGTCATGATATCTCAGCTTCTGCTACTTCAATTTGACTATTCTTTTACAAATATGTCTCTTGTGTATGTAACAAAAGTGAAACAAAAGTACATTGCTAAAACCCTTAAATGTCTTGCCTTTGGACAGCCATTGGGCACAGCAGACTCTGACTTACGTTTATACGGTGAGGTGATCTTTACAAAAGCTCTTGGAGAGTCTGGAGTAGCCTCCAAAATTGGCTCCAGCTGGCCTTGGTCTGAGCACTGCTTCTGTGTGGGACTCCTGATCTGACCTGGGGTTGGTGCTGATCCCATTGCTTTAGGAAGTGCTGTCAGGTCAGAGGTGGTGGAAGTGTTGGAGGCCCCAACGGGGCTGGGATCGAGTGAGGACGAGCTGCTGGATGTTGTGCTCTGATGGGTTGTTGCTGTTGAGTCAGCTGCAGGGCTGCCCCATGTGGAGGTGCCAGTACGACTCAGGGAGCCAGATTTCACAAAGACGAAAGCCCCACTGTCCTGTGAGGCTGTGCTGGTGGGAAGAAAATGAAACTGGAACATTACCTTTTGCTGCCAAACCCAGAGCAGCTTGTCATAAGGTCATAATCTAAGGCAGTCAGTGTGTTATGATTGTGCTGTCATCACAATAATGATACAAAGCTGCGTTGTGAATGCAATTTGTGAGCTGTGTCGTCACCGAGCGGTACCTGTTTGACTTTGAGAGAGGAAGGTGATAAGAGGAGCAGGAGGAGGAGGCAGTGGATGATGAGGAGACTGTTCTGCTCAGTTTCCCCCTTTCTGACATCAGAGACTGGGCAACAGGAACTGGTAGGGACACATCTGAGACCTCAGGAAGTTCTGGGATCTCAAAGGATACAGCTGACCAAAACAAAACAGAGTGAAATTTATGAGTGCTCCATCAAATAGACAGCATTTCTTTATAAGAACTGTTCTTCTTGTGTTTTATTTGTTCAGTTTTGGCAATATTTCCCATCTGTGATACCATTGTACTCAACTATTCTGTCCCTGAGATCTGACATCACAAACAATAAGTCCAGTTGGGCAAGAAAGCAGCAGTCAAATGACCAGACAGGTTTTAAACAAACCCACGTGTCAGCTAAATTGATTTGGAAAAATGAAACAACCCAAACTATCTGTTGTAAACATTTAGAGTTTATAGACTGACTTCCTGGTTCACCCTTGACTCATTGTACTTGCAGTAGTTGTTTGTGTTTCCTGTGCAGTGGGTGTGCTGACTTTCAGTTTTACCTCCCAAATAAAATTGTTCAGATTTGCAGTTTCCAGAGCGGGTGCAGCAGCACACTGCGATGCGTTAAGGACGGGCCAATAGTGCCACAAGATTTGGCCATTGTCATTTTTTTATTGGACATTCTAGTAAGGTGTCACTGTATTAAAAAAAAAAGGCATCATTTACATTTACCGCTTTTTGTATTATATTTTTAGACATAAAAATAGAACAAATAAGTAGTAAATATCAAAATCACCATATGAGAAAACCTGTTTAATATGAAGCTATGCTGCATGTAATGGCATGACAGCTTATACATTAAGGTGGCACCTGCGTCAATACATTATGCTGAGGCTCCATCTTGAAAAATTAAGATCTAGATTTATAAATCTGTATTATTTCAGTTTATCTTATGCTTATATGGTACATATTCCTCAATAAATCTGGGCTTAAACACAGCAACACAAACTAATTATTAATTACTTATTAATACAAATACAACTGCAAAGACAAGGGAAGAAATGGAGGTCAATAGGGGCCTACAGCTCCTTCTCACCCCCAGGCACCAGCCCTGATGTTTACAAATTGTCTGATCATCTGACTCATTGTAGCGATGCCGCTATATTCTTAGATCTCAGTTGTGGGTTTGAAAATTACAATGTCATTATAGCTGATAAAAATGCTAAATTCAAGTTGTATTAAACAGAATAACCCTTTAAAGACTGTGTACTGAGAGCACGTGAAGAGAGTACGTCAGTGTTTGTATACCTTCAGGGAAGAGGCTGGAGCTGTACTGAATAAGAGGCTCAATGACCGTCACCACTTGCACCGAAGACGCTGACGCCATGTCAAACAGAGCAGCTTCCCTAAAGAGGCAGAGAGGTGGAGGGTTAAAACGTGGGACGGATAAGGGTTCAGGCTGCAGAATATGGTGACATTAACTTAGGTTTTCATGGTTAGAGATACAAATCTAACTATGGTGTCACTCAAGTAAGACATTCTGTCCATTGAGGTTTAACCACTGAGAGTATATTTGCCATCAAGACTGCACTTCCTATAATTAATGCCCCCCCCCCCCCACCTCACTGCTAAGAAAACGTTAGCCTCATGAACCATCTGTCACGGTTTTTCAGTGAACAGGATGCTGCGGTTCAGTATCATGTGACCAGTAGGTCTGGTTTTGCTGATGAAATATGTCACAAATGCTCATCCTTCATATTAAGACACAAAGATGATGAAAGAGGAAGAGCAGGCAGGACAGGGGAATGTGTGAATGGAGTATGGTTACAGTACACGCAGGGTAAAGACAAAGATAACCAGGTTGCTGCGCACCCTTCAGCTCGTGGCCAGAGCAGGTTGGGCCCCAGCACGATGGCAATGTTACTGGGTGTCATCTTGTTTACAGCTTGCTGCTCAGACAGCAAAGACAAGAACTGGATCAGGTACCTGATAGGAAGAAAGAGGAAGAAAACGAGTAGTAAAGGGAGGAAGTTACAGAGCAATATTAAGCTGGCTATAGTCAAGAAGACCTAACTGCATCACAATAAACAGTTATGGTGCCCTGGTGTGTACAGGATGAAACGAGATGACAAATTAATGCTATCAGGTGAGAGGCAGACGTGGAGGAAGTATTCAGATCCTTTACCAAAAACCAATAGTAAAAGTATTAATACCACACTGTAAAAATATTCTGTTACAAGTAAGAGCCCTGCATTGAAAATGTTACTTACAGTAAATAAAATCATGGAAGTATAATGAGGAAAACGTTCTTAAAGGAGCAGTGTGAAGGATTTAGGGATATTTAATGGCGACTAGCATTGAGGAGTGCTGATTGCAACCAGCTGACACGTTTTTCATGTGTCAAGTGTGAACTCCCGGTCAGGATTTTTTCAGCGTTCAGGTTTCTTCTTCACCACAACAAACGGACCAGGTGAAATCACTGAATAAAGCAGTTTCATATTACAAATCAGTGTTTCACCAACATTCTTATACTCACTAGCCCAGTGCCTGTTAATCCATGTTCACCTTTTTCTCTGATAAGATCCAGGCATTTAGGAGGTTTTTACTGGGAGCTGAATTATCCTCAGAGGTCTCTTCCTCTCAAAAACAAACAGACCCAATGAATAAAAAAAATTTAAAAAAAATACTGAATTAAAGCAATTTCACATTAAAAATCTGTGTTTTTCCAGTGCTGTTTGGCTTGTTGTGGAGGGGCTGCTTACTGACATGAAAAGGTGAATGGCCCTATCTAGAGCCAGTGTTTAGTTTGTCTGTTTCGGGCTGCTGTAGAAACATGGCATTGCAACATGGCGCTCTCCATAAACGAGGACTCACTCCCTATGTTGATATAAATGACTCATTCACGGGTAACGAAAATGCGAAGATTCTTATTTTCAGGTGATTATACACTTAAGAAAACATACTTATTATATTATTTCTGCCAATATACCCCCTAAAATCCTACGCACAGGACCTTTGAGATATTAAATATTAAGTACTCAATACAGAAAAATTCCAAACAACAAAACAAACTTAATTTTGTTTATAATAGGTGTAAATAATTAAAAGATAAAGCAGCATATCGTCACATTTGTGAACCTGGAACCATGAAATGCTTTGCACCAAAAACTGACAATAATCAAAATAGTTGCCAATTAATTTTTTGTCAATCGACTTATTGGTAAATCAACTAAGCATTGCACCTGTACTTGTATATCCTGTTGGGTAGTTTTATAAAAAAAAAAAAAGGTAGTATTTCATAAGCTTTTTATATGTTTTGTATGCAAAAATCTTAAATTGTAAAGTAACTAGTAACCATAGCTGTTAGATAAATATAGTGAAGTAAAAGGTACAATATTTCCCTCTAAAATGTAATAGAAATTGAAAGTAGCATGAAATGAAAATACTTGAGTAAAGCATAAGTAGGCCTACCTCAAATTAGTACTTAAGTACAGTGAGTAAATGTACTTTGTTACATCCAACACCAATGAGAGCTGAGATACCCTAACATGATGATTTCAGGTTTTAACCCCTCTTAAAACCCTTTGGATAAACCAAACTAGCTAAATGCTAATGTCAACATGTTAATGTGCTCATATTACAATGCTAACAAATAAAATAGAAATAGAAAGAACTTTATTCAGCCCAGAAGGGCAGTTCATAACATGCTAATGATAGGCAGGTATAATGTTTACCACTTTAACTGGCTTAGTTTGTGTGTTGGCATGCTAATATTTGCTAATTACAGTAGCGCTAAACAGGAAGTTCACTAAAAATCACAAATGTTAGTCTCGTGGTGGCGTTACAAGAGAAGTCAGGGGATCACTAAAGTCAGTTGGCCTCATTCCCTGAGAACCATCAATGTGAGTAGCCACAATATTGTTGAGATATTCTAGTCTGGAGGAAAAGGTTGACCAACTGACAGAGCAACATTGCTATCTATAAAGCTACATCACTAGTGTGGCTAAAAATGTTGTCCATTTGAGTTGAATATGAGGATGTCCTTTGCCCCTGAAATGCTTTCTTTTTCAGATATGTGTATCTAGTAGCAGCAACATTTGATGATGTGATTCTAAAAACAAATGTACACAAAGAGTGCAGACCTGAGGTTGTTGTAGTTTTCAGGCGGTAGTTTCTTCAGTAGCACTTTGAACTGCTCCAGCTTCTCATTCAGGTCTTTCTCCCTGTGAAGAAAGACATCGAACTCAAGAAACAGACATGATACCGGAGTAGAAATAAGAAATATGTATTGTAGATATTATACACACCCTGCTGCTTTAAACCAGTCATTGTAGAGTTCAAAGGTCATTAGAGGTTCGGGGAGTTCTCGCAGGTAACACTTGAGAGCTCCTGTCACAATACATTTAGAGATAAATCATCACATCATCGCATATAAACAAGCTAAGGTAATATGTAAACTACTGCCCCTTTTTGTGTTGTCAGATGTATAATAATAATATATGACCTATGATATAAATAAACAGATAAATAAATAATATATAGTCATGATATTGGCTGTTTTCGCTCACTGTTTGGTAAAACTAGTGACTCATGCTCTACTTAAGTTATGAAAGCTTTCCTGTTGCTGTTCTAAAAATTCTCCAGCAAACAGGAAATTAAGTATTTTACATTACTGGAAGCTGCAACAGCGGCTGCATTTGGAGTAAACAGAAGAGGAACTGGGCAGTCAGAATGAGCCGCATAAGTCACATTGGCTTAGCAAACGAGGAAGAGTCCCCACAGCAGAAACTCAAGCTCAAACTAAGAGGAAATCTAAGGAAAAACAAGTGAACACATGCTTACCGGCCACAGCGTGAGGGTCCATGCTGAATTCGCTGTGGTCGACCGCTTCTTGATCCAAACAAGTCTTCAACCTCTTCACCACTGAGGCTGCTGCTGCCAGACGAAACAGACCCTGAGGGACGAAGAGGAAGAGGAATGAGAAAAAGATGGAGAAAAAGAGTGTTGAAATGAGAGCAGTTACCTGACAAAAACACTTATGTGCAGCCCACCAGCACCCAAAAATATACAATTTATTTTGACTTAACATCTGCACATCCTCCATATTCCTGGAGGAGATACGTGCCATTCCTCGCATGACTCAAGACAAATTAACTAACAAGTTTCTAGTGTTTTTAAACTTATATAAAGACTCTGTATTTCCTCCTGCATTTCTCAAGCACCTACAGTAGCTTGGAGCCAAACTCTGAAGAGATTTTGACTCTTTTAGCCACACTGGGTATGGCCTGAGGTTTGGTTATGTCGGTTAATCAGTCCGTCACTTTGGTCCAAACTCAAAAGTCTCAACAATTGAACAGCTGTACAGGTTTATCACAAAATTTCAGACATTCAGCTTCAGTTATGGTGCTTTGTGCCTAATGCTACTTTTTTATTACCATTGTTAGCATGCTAACACACTAATCTAAGATAGAGGACATGTGGAGAACATGGTCACCATTAGACCTGCTTAACATTAGCCTGTTAGCATTGTTATTGTTAGCATGCTGATGTTAGCATTTAGTTCAAAGCACCACTGTGTCAGTGCAGCCTCACAGAGCTACATGGCTGTAGAACAGGAAGTGTAGCATGTGGGCTAATGGCTGCCCTCAAACTCATTTTGCGTTGCCCCTGAGGGTGGCATGAAATGCATGCATTGGTTTTAATTATCTGTGGTCCATTTTAATATATTCACTCATAGGTGTAGATTAAGGAATGAGAATGTGCATTTGTTCTCCCATTAAAAAATTGAAAGTAGCAGAGAACTTCCATTTTACAAAATTAAAGACATTTACACCATAAATTGATGCAGTAAAGGCACAAATTTGTGCATTAAAATTAACCAGAATGCAGGTGTGTTTGATGCGAAAATTTTTCTGACTTTGGACCCCCAAAACCCCTGTTTCATATGTGTCTCCTCCAATGCAAAATGAAAGCTACCTCTTGGGCTTACATTTAATACACTACTCGGCTACTGCGTCAAGCTAACAAGTGTCTGTCAGGGCCGGGCCGACAACTTGTAGAAAGCCACTGGTGCCATTGCTGTGAGCTAAAGTTAATGATTGCAGTGGATAACTCAGCAGTTTCATATGGAAGTAAGATGGGAAAGATATTTTGTAATATGTGTGCACTTTTCCTGTGCAGCCATCAGTGCTGGCTTCTTAAAATGGCACTCACACAAGAAATAGAAAATGTGATGGTACGTCCCGCTGCATGAGACGGGGGCGCTTTTTTTGAAGTATGCCCTCTATTATCAAAGTTTACACACAGCCCAAAAATGAGATAGTTCACAATGTCTCGGTAGGCTACGTAGGTTGAGGTAGTGAATCAGGGTCTGTAATCCAGCCTTGGGATGCCAAGTCATGTGGATCTATGCTGTTATCATGATAAGTTTGTCCAAATACCGTTGCGTTGTGTTGTTTACACAATAACACAGTGTGGCCCTCACAAAATGGCGCCCCTGTCCGAAACATTTAACACAGTGTGATGTGAACTTCACATTCTCTCTAGGGTACAATTCTTGGCTTATGTAATGACAATGTTTAAGAAATTTCATAAGGATGAGCTGATGTTTATCTACATGCAAAATGTTCGGACCCATCAAATGTGTGTTTATACATAGAAGTTTAAGGAACCTGCTGGATTCCACAGCTGAAATCTGTTTAGAGTGCCAAGAAGAAAATAAATCTAGCATCAATAAAACTACATATTTCTAAATGGCATCAGTCATCAACGTTAACAAGCAGTATTAGAGAATGAGAAGAGTCAAAATAAACCAAAATAAAACAAAAGCTGCCTGCTAGGATGGTGCACAGGTGCATAACTTGGTGAAGAATAAAACTAAAAGCTAAAGGCAGAATTTACATGCTTATCAATCTGAGTTTCAGGATTATAAGCCCTGGAGTCTCATCCCATCAGTCCTACCTCCTCAGTCATTCCCGTTCTCAGCAGCATGTGAATACACTCCTGGATGGGTGCCGCGATTTCTCTGTTGCTTTGAGACAGATGAGAGATCAGAGGCTCCCCATAGACCTTCTGATTAGGGAGGCTCAGCGGTTGCCCTGCGCAATCAGATAAGCACACAGAGGAAATAAGAATGCACGTAGAAATATCGCAACGACAGTGCAGCAAATAACATGGAGCAGATGAACTTTTACCTTTTTGGCTATGATTCTCTTTGAGCTCGCTGATGTTCTTGTCCAGGAACTCGTGCGAAATTTTGTGATAATCTGCCTGCAGCTCGAGAAGCTATGGACGCAGAAACAAGGGAGGTCCGTTTTTACATTTTAATTTGTTTGCACGTTTAGAAGACAAAAAGCCGTCACAACTCCAACTCACACGGATGAAGTAGTTAGCGTAGTCATCTTCTTTAGTTGCAAAGTGATACAGATCTGCAGAGTACTGGTCCTACAGAGACAGAGAAACAGAGAGGTCAGAGGTCGTGGCTACCGTACTGATTCCACAGAGGTGTCGGAGATGCATACTGCAGCCCAGATGGTTCTAAGAGAAAACAATGTTACCTTGATGCTCTCCAACTTCCTCCAAGCTTCTTCCACTTCCTCCTTGAGCCCATCCTGCCTCGCCTGGGGGCCAGTGCTGGCTTGGCTCCTGACCACACACACACACACACACACACACACACACACACACACACACAGAAATGAGTGAAATGTGTATAAGCTACTTGGATAAACTGTAATACATGTAACTGTGACTGTAGCTGTGTAACTCACCTAGTTTTTGCATTGATCCAGTCTGTAGTGAGCTTTGCAAACTGCTTCTTGTTCTTGAGAATCTCCGGCAAATCATCCTAGGAGGGAAAATTAAAAAAAAGTTAAAATATTGGGGTTCAAGCCATTCAATATAAATTAGATTTTTATTCAGTTTTGTTATTAACAACTAGACATTTACACGTGCATAAAAAATATTGAAAAATGAAGATTAAAAGGACAAAGATGGAAGATCTGATAAAAATGAAAGAAAGATATTAGCTTGTTACTGGCTTTCTCTTTCCGCTTTATTATACTTCAATCATACTGGATCTTAAAATTAACCTACTTATTTATAGATGTAGTGCAGCTGTGGTCACCCTTGCATATACACATAGGCTGGCGCAAATGAAGCGCTGTAATCAGTATTACATTAGTTTCTGTCTGACAACATGCATTACGCAGCCATTCTCACCTCACTGAGCTTGTTGAGCGGCTCCAGAACTTCCTTCTCCACTTTCATCTCAAAGTCTGCCAGCATGCTGGCCAGCATCTTCTCCATGAAACAGCACATCTCCAGCACCCTCCTGCCACGCACACACACACACACACACACACACACACACACACACACACACACACAGTTTATGGTCAACTCCTGTCTTGCTGTTTCCATATTTTTTTTAAATGGATGTCAGAACTAAAACACATGCACATCTGGAAAAATAAACAAGTTGTAAAGAGGATCTTGCAGTCTGGAGAGGCTTCAACAAGCAGAGTAACTCGTAACTAAATCTGAAAAATAGTTGTTATTTCCCTGTGAATTGTAGCGGAGTAGAAGAAGGAAGTGCCATAAACCTCTAATTTGTGCTTGACTACGACGCTTAAATAAATGTATTTCACTATATGGCAACACTGGCAACAAGAACTAAACAATCTGACCTGACATGGATCTTCCTCGGGACTAAAACACAGTGGGAACATCATAAATCACCATCAAGTGACATGTAACTCACCTAGCTGGTTATCAGAGCCTCAAAACTATAAATAACTGAATAGAGTTCTAGTCACAAGCTGCAGACAATGTGTAGGATCCTCTTTCCTTTCCATCCAGAACTGAAAACCACTGCACTAAAGTCATAAGGTTTTCACATGACAGCAGTCAACATCTAATCAGTCAACAGTTCAGGTCAAGAGCATGGAGGGAGCGATGGGTGTCACCTGATAGAGGACTCTGCGTCAAAGTCTTTGAGGCTCTCTGCCATGCTGATGGACAGCAGCATCAGAGGGAGCTTTTTCTGAGGACACAGAAGCAGATGTAACACCTTTTAGTAACCAGTCAAATGATTTTCAGACATGGCCACATGGATACTGTGGTTTCAGTACCATTCGTTTTTCAGCCTCCAGTCCCGTCTGACTCTGCATGCAGCCGTGCAGCTTCTTGTGAAGGACCTGGGCGGCCTTCTTGGCTGGTTCCACCCGCTGCTCAACCTTCATTCGGTCAGACACACACATACAGTAACGCTTTGATCTGTTAACCAGAAAATCTTGTGCATGTGTTAGTGTCTGAGGTTTCATATAACTTTGTCCATGTTGTGGTGATTAGGTCTGTATGTTTCATGTGTTTTTACGTATGTTGATATGTTTTAGAATGCAAAAAACATTTTCCATAATAAGCCTAAAAGCTATGATACAAACGAAAAACAGATGGTGTGGTGCTTGTGAAAAAATCAGTGATATGTGATGTGTGATATAAATTTCCCATAATCACGACTGTTTAGGTTGAATTACATTGTAATAAAATACAGCTTAAGCTATAAAGTCATCATATAATAAAAACTATATTAAGTCTTAATAGCAGATTTATAAGCTGTAAGGATGAAACAGAATCTTGTCTTTGTCTCACCATGACCAGGTCCTCGTGTAGAAGTTCAGTGGCATCTTGTGACCTGCAGACATGCGTGTTGTATTGGTTAGTGAATATACAGGTTAACAACCCTGATGTCAAAAAACAAAAATAATCCATAACAGATTTAATATTTAGCAAGAAAGCATATACACATATTTGACAATCTCAACTATTTGTTTAATCTGCTATTTTTGTGCACTGTTTCTGTCTACACCACAGACTGTATCATAAAGATGGCTGACATGACAGCACCTCAAAGTGAAGCCAAAACATCTTGATTGTATGCCGGAGGCTGGTTGCAGTATAGGTCATAAACCCCGCCCCCTCCATGTTATCTTAAGGGACATGGGCAAAACTAAAACCTCAAAGTACAATCAGATACCTTTTCCTCAAAGATGGTTTCTGTTGTTTGTTTCTGTTGCTTCTTCTGATGGTTTTAATTTGTTATTTGATGCTATTAAAAGGGGGGGGTCTGACATTATGATTGACAGCTGTGTGTGCCAGCTGAGTGACTGCCATCAGTGGTGCTGCTCGTGATTCGTTAGATGGTGGGCCCATTTTCTGCCCTTTAATTGTCACAGGGCTGCATTCAGTGACTCGCAGTGCACCATATCTAGAGTAGTGATGGCTGCTCAGATGTGTATGTCCAACCTGATTTTAGTGTTGGTGTGTGGTTTGGCGTGGCTGACGCTGAGTCCCCTCCTGAATGGGTTTCGCAGCAATTGAAACTGGGGCTGGCTTGTCTTCTGGCAGACAGATTCAGTTGTTTGTAGAGTAGGTGAGCCGTGGTCTGGTAGCTGTCATCTGCCTTTTGGCCTAGAGGTTGCATCTCTGCTCTCTGGCATGTGTATGCATCACAGTGTCTGTGCATCACAGTGGGCGGCTTGTTTCATATTCCCGGCCTTCTCTCGATGGTGAAACTGCTGCTTTGTTTCTACAAGGCTTTGTTTCTGTGAGTGTTGCTTCAGCATGTTTTCACGCCTTCATGTTTTTTGGCTGCTGCAATAGCTGGAGTTATTTTTTTATGCTCTTTGTGCCACAATCCTAGATGACATGTTTGGACTTTCATTGTTTCATTTTCTTTGTTTTTGATTAATCTAACTGGTTTTACACCGCAGCCTTGGCCTTCATTGCTTTAATCTATGGGCCAGGCCAAAATTTGGTACCACATTTTGGCGCTTTGAGCACCACAAGCCGAGTGCCATCTAGTTCCATTATAATGGAGAGAAGGCTGACATCTCTACAGCCGATATCTCCAACACTCAGCAACTCACACCAAAACAATCTAGACTGATAAATAGCACTACAGCTAAGAGGAAGAATATGTATTTTTGATTCAGGGGTGAACTGTACCTTTAATACCAAGTATGACCATGTTATATTCTGCATAACAATGACAACAATGACACAATCTAATTACTGTGTTGCATTCATGTGCTAGTGGGACAGTCTGAAATACAGGATTTTAAAACACAAGTCGACTGCATTGATGTCCTTAATCAGATGATCATTAAATATAAACTATTGTAGAGGCTTTGCATTTTAAGATTTGAGTACACTTTATCTGTGAGGGCTTCTTCTGTGGTTTAGTTCAGTACCAGCTCTATGAGAGGAAGGAGGCGCTGCCACACCATCTCTGCCACAACACGTGGCAGTGTAAAAAAAGGAGGGAGGGAGGGAGGAGAACAGCTCCACAGCTTTGACAACTTCAGGTTTGGGTGTCACACCAAAAGGAAGCCCAGCCCAGTTTGCAAAGAGGGCAGATGAGCTTCAAGCACCTTCATGGTGCAGCTTCTTATTTCCTCCAGTGAACACCTGAAGTTTCAAAACACAAAGTGGAGAATTCCCCGTAGTGTTTGAACCACATGCCAGTTCCTTTTTTTTTAAATCTCTGACTCTCATTTCAGCTTTTCCTTTTGAAAGCAACTCATTCCACAAAGAGTAGAATTACATCAGAGCAGATGTGTTGTACGCTCTGTTAAGAAAGTAGAAGTGTGTGTGGAGGTGTGTATGCTGATATAAGGGAGGTTACTCCCCACAGTGACATAAAGACCTGATTGTTACACTTTGACATAAAAACAGCTCTTTTCATACATAATGTACAGTACGTGTACATCTGAGTGTGTGCATGTGTTATTTTTGTACGTATGTGTTCATCTCATCAAAGGCCATAGTGCTGCAAGTGCAAAACTGAGAACTGGGTGAAGTGCTGCTGTGGTAGGTGAAGCCCACTTTGCTCTGCTGCAGATGCACGCTGCGTAGGTTTATTATTAAACCAGAGTACGCCACAGGTAGAGGCAACATGGCCCGCACGTAAGCACACTCCTATACCCCTGCTGCATGCAACTGTGTGACAAGAAAATCAGACAGGGTGGAAGTGTATGGTTATCAGACGCTGTCACGCACAGGCACAAACCCTCTAGATGAGAGGAATTCAACCTGTTCGACAATGACAATAAATACTTCTCCCACAAATTTTGTACATCAATTAGTCATGCCATGTTACGTTGAATTTGTGAAGGAAATATTTTTCTCGCATGCCTCCAGGAACATGGCAAGCGAATTGATTTATTAAATAATTAGGGAGTGCATTTTTTAACAACAAAACTACATCAAAACATCTGTTTTACACAACTTCTACAGTTTAATCCAAGTCTCATTTATCGAGTCGTATGTTCAGTACTTTCTAAACACATGTATTTTTAACTTAAAAGCCTCAGTAGGAAACCACAACCTTTAAAAAAATGAGCTTAAAGTGAAACTTATCTATGCTCTCTTCAAAGCCAGACTACAATACTACATTTTTTTGTCTTTGTTTGTACTGAGCATACAACTGGATAAATAAGACTTACATGCAGTCCCAGGTCAATCAATAAATCAATATGTCCACTGTTTTCTGTGCAGGCATGCAAGATAAACAATGCTTTCTGTACAAATTGAAGGTAACACAACATGACAAACTGATATACAAATGGTCATTTTGTGGGTGAAGTGTTCCTTCATGGTGTTTATTATCAAATTACTGACATATTAATACAAAATACAACTGCAATAAATCCTTTTTCATGTGTCAAAGTTTTGTTTCCTCTCAGAGAGATGCCACAAACATCACCCCCCTTTGGGTAGATAACCACTGCCTTCATAATTCGTTGCAAACTCGAGTGACTTTGTCCTCATGGCTTTCACGCCCCGAAGAGCCTGAGGTTTCCCTCAAAACCCAAACAGCATGCTTTGCTTTCAAGAGGAACCAGCGACTGTGTCATTCCAGCTTTACACACTTTTCAACACAGTGTTTGCAACAGTCAGATTGAGAAGATGGAAACAGAAACTGAACATTTCCTCAAATTTGAATAACACGCTGAAATGAAAACTTCTCCAGAGGTAATGGTGCACTAGAGTTCCCACTGGCTTTGCAAAAGGCCCAAAAGTGTCTCAATTTAAGGGGAAAAATGAGCTCTACAATTAAAATGATCCATCCATAGGTGCAGAGGACTCTTATTTTGGCAAAATTAGACATTTACACAATAAATTTGTCGCATAAAAGGCACAAACTGCTGCATTAAAATCACCAGAATGCAGGAAATTAATCATTTGATGCTTAAATTTTTCCTAAACCTCTGGTTTCAAAACAAAACCTACATCCTTGAATTAATCTTAATTAATTAACACCCAGAATCCAAAAGAGATTTAGATTTACAGGGGCAGCTTAAAAGTGAGACGTAACAAAATCAGCCGCACCAGGCAAGTCACAGTTAGGGGAAGAGGGTCACTGATAAAACAGCGTTGCACAAGTAGAGCAAAGTCATGAAGGCAGATGTCAGTTTTACAGAACTATCTATCCAAAGTTTGACCACACAGGCCACCATAAGCTGACCAGACTAAGTAATGTGTAGCAGCAACATTTGCACGGCTTTAAACAAGGCTGCATTTCATTGCTTGTGTATAAACTTCTCATTTTAAGAGGAAGATTGTGTTCTTTCTATGTTCAGAAGTTAGATGAAGTTACAAACTGTGATTTCTTAATGTGGTGTGACATCAGACCAAAATCCTAACCCACACCAAAACATGCCACTTCTTGGTTTACACGTCTTGAAAAACCCTTGAGTTCAGTGTACATGTGAGTGTGAGAGCCTTGATGTGCAGCTCGCAGTCTCAATGCAACAACAAGGAGACATTTATCAGATTAAAGCACTTACTTTCCCGCAGAGCCCAGCTGCTTCAGGATGCTCAGAGACTGCCGGAGCATGCTGGCAGTGGAGTCAGACCAGTTTTAGTCCCTGACCTCTCTAAGTCCTGCTCAGCACCACGAGATATCCTGCTCTGAAGACGTCCGGCTGTGTCACTGCATTAGAGAAGGACGGCACACACTGGTTGCCTCTGCCTCTGTCTTTGTGTGTGTGGTGTGTGCGTGTTTTGGTTGTCAGTTTTCGTTCTTGTTTCAGGACTGTGCGCTTAAGTCACACTCAACACAAGGCAGTGAATGAGGAAGTTGCATAGATGAAGTGTCAGCTGTGAGGGGGGAAGAGAGAGTTTTTTTTTCAGGTTTGGCTGTCACACTATGATTTCAGTTAACTAAAACACACACTCCACCAGCACAAACTCACAGAAGGTAATGAGAGATTTGGTGTTCACCCTGACATTAGAGCTAAAATGGAAGAACATTTGTTCAAGTCAGCTTTCCAACCAGAAAAGTACCATTTCTAAGAACTGTCTGAGAGGGTAAATCTGTATGTAATATATCTGAATTGTAAGAGCACATTTGCAGATTTAAATCTCATTAGAGGTATTTTCACACTCTTCATATTACATGTCTGACAGGCTGCGATTAGTAGGTACTTCTGTAAATGCTAACAGTATGTGTTAATGAGTTAAAAGGATGTGAGAAGGCCAAAAGAGGAAACTATCAATGCTGCTGCCTGAAGCAGGATCTGTTTTTCAGTCAGTTTTTAAATGATTTTTTATTTAAATGTGTCTCTTCTCAAGCCTTCTTATTGGCATTAACTGCTATTGCTTTTAGTTTTTAACATAAAGTTAATTTTTTAATTATAGGTTTGGTAACAATTACTTACACTTCCTGTTACAAATACGTACAGAACCACTTTTTTCCTTATTTTTCGAACTACTTAAAAAAACAAACAAAAAAACAGGTGAGGTCACTACTTTGTGAACACAATAATAAAATAAATAAATAAAACACACACACACACTAGTAACTAAAAGTTTTTAAGTTGTACTAAAAAAAAAAAAAGTTTTTTTTGCCCACTGTAAGCTTTAAAAACTGATATATCACATCCTTTCTATGTTTGGCCTAACTTGTAATATAACTATGTTCTGTAATTTGTCATTTGCTCATGATTATTTATTATATATGCTTTGTACCTATACATATTGAATACTTTAATTTTCCATCAGTGTACAGTTACATTTTTACAAAAACCCTTGTTGAACTTGTGATTAGACGAGCTCACCTGACAATCTCAGTGACATCCCTTCAGTCCCAACCCTAAACATTTTAGTGAACAGTGCAGCCTGAGTCACGGCTCTGCAGATTATATGTGGTAAATCACCATGAGCGCTTCTGTTGCTGTCTTTGGATTGTGGTGAAATGGCATCCTCTTCAGATGCTGGCAGTCACCAAGGCATTAAGAGCTGCACACAGGTGGAGGGTGTAACCCTGGTGACTGTCAGATGCTGCAGTCTAGTGGTGACAGTGGCAAAATGCACAGAGCAAGAACAACATGTCTGACATCACCGACTACATGCACAATACTATTCCACTATTATTTAGAATATGACAATATTCTGAATTTTAAATGAGTAACAGTATAGTCTATTTGATCTTTCTGATTTAAATCTTTTTACAAATGTAACATTTCCCAATTGAGATGCGGGATATGGAAGTGTTAAGCAGGTTTTAGGAGCATTATTTGGACACATATACAGCACATTAGATTATGCGTCTCAGCTGGGGTTTGTACCATACTTTGTGACACATGGCCTGTTTACAGTCAGCTCTGTGCGTTGTCATGGATATGTTGTACACAAACAAGCCAGTTTGGGTTTCCAAGGCTGGAGTAGAGATGCATGCCCAAAAGAAAAGCACACATATTTGGTCAAATGAAAAACACATCTACTTATTAACATTATGAAAGACTTGAGTATCAACATGTTTTTGGTGCAAATATCACAACGCTAAACTTTCAAGAAGGTGGTTGAAGGAAGGAAAGGAGGACAAGGCCGCCACTAGTGGAAAACTCTGGAAAAATCCTATTTTGATGCACAAAACGGCACAAGCAGCTCCAGCTGTTCCACCTTTCAATTTATTGATGTGATAGATAATGTTAGGGCACGTTAATGGGTGTATACACGGCTGCATGCAGACAGGAATATTAATGGAATATTCATTTTCATTAGCTATTTAAACACTTTAGTAGAAAAACTGTCTTTTCCAGAATAAAGGAATATTTTGTGCATGTAAACTTTGACATTGTGTCATTTAAGTCTTTCTTGAATTGCTTCTGGATCTGACTTAACTTCTGCGACATTCAGTATTTAATACACTTCTGTCTACTGGCGTCACTTTCAGAGTCAAAACAATTTGCAGGTAAAAGACACTTCACAGAATTAATCACGAAGGACTACAACTTTCAGCTGCTTTGACAAGTACATGATAAACATTTACAAATTTGAATACAAAACACAAAATAGTCATTTATCTATTGTTGAATTTATTCTTTAAAAATGACTTCAAATACAGGTTGGAAAACTGGAACTGGATTGTGGCTACATTTCTTACACTTCTCATCTCAACAGTTTGTTTTTTAAGCTATTTCCATGTTATTGGGAATACTGGTGTCCTGATCAAGGCAAATCCCCCACACACTGAGTTAGCGGTTTATCATGTACACCTGTGCAGTCCACACAATACAAATGCCCTGCAGTAAATCCTCTCCTTGTGGAGTTTAGAATTTTGTGTTCTGGTTTAAAATGTCAGAGAGCTGAGTGGTCGCTGGTAATTTTGGTACTAGTGCTGATGTAAAGGACTGCATTGAATTCTTCGTGTACCTAATAAACTAACTCAGTGTAGGTTCTTTGTAGGACTTCAATTACAGGAGTAAGACAGTGAACTGGTCTTGTGTAAACTGTGTAAAGCAACAAAAGACACAATCCCTCCAACAGAACCACAGAGGACCCCATCAGAAACAGGGCAAGGCGACGGTTACTGAGGAACTTCGAGACGATGCTTTCCAGCACTGATGACAACTTAAAAACGCTTCTTGTAGGCAATTCAAGTAATATTCCAGTTGCTTTGAACAAAGGATTACAAAACACATTCTGAAACACTTTTGAACTGACAGCAATATGATGATTCTAGTGAGCAAAGTGAAAATGTGGAGGGAAAGATCCATGAAAAAGCAAAGGAAACTAAATATTTTCTACTTTGAATACGTGTTGCGGAAGGAGGACTGCCAATTCTTCCAACTGTAACTTGCCAACTGAAACAAAGGGGATCAAAACATGGTGACTCTGGGACAAAAAGAAGCTGGTGGAGAAAGATTATTTGTGTCTAAATGAAGGGGGAAATCTTTAGAAAATTATACCAATGCCTTGTGCAACATATCCACAAATTCTAAACTACATTGTATAATTCCTATATATCAGTTTATCCTCTGAATAGTGTTCTTTTTCTCCATCTGCAGCTGCCGTATTACAAAACAGGCGAGATGGGAGAAAAAAAAGGTAAAGCACCAAAAAATATCCCCATGCATGTTCACTGTAACACCTGTCCAGTCATTAAGTAAACTCGTATTAGGTAACCTTGTAAAAATGTATAAATCAAAAGGAATGAAAATAACTTCAGCAGCTTCAGAATTAAAACCCTGCTGGGTGGGGGAAGAGCAAAGAGGCAGTGAAGCACTTGGAAAACCTGTGATTGTCTCCTCTGGAGGAAGAAAACTAGAGGCATCCCAAATGTTGCATTCCTCTTCGTCTTGCTTTGATCCACCCGTTTTGCCCCGTCCTGACCAAACTGTTATGGAAGACCCACGCCTTTCTGATTTGAAATGAGGGACAGGAGTTCAGGAGCACCCCTGATCTGATGCCACTCGTACTCGTCCCCCTCCCCGCTCTTCTCCTCCTCCTCCTCCTCCAGATCTCCGTCTCTCTCCATCCCTCTGAGACAAGTGCATGTTGAAGCTTTCAGGTAGTGGACTAGCGCTTTGCTTTGGCTTCTTCAGCTTCTTTTTCTGAAATAAAAAAAAGAGGCAACAAAGAGAATTATGTAAAGCTCAAAAGAAAAAGATGATAGTTACGAGGAGGGCCTGCTAGAACAACCCAATAAAGTAACAAATCTTGTGTGATGCCAGGACATTTGCTGGAAGTTCCCACCTCCTCCTTCTGACTAAAACACATTTGCATTTCATTGCCTTACGTGTCAGGACACCGTGTGTACACAGTAAGTAACCAGTACGTGTATGAACAAATCTTTCACAAAAAATCCTCAAGCTTAACTGAGAAAAAAAAATCATGACATCACAATCAGTAGCTTTCTGCACTGGAGCTCACTGGTGACTGAGAGCAGCATGTTTAACAGTAGGTAACTTGCTCATTAAAACCCATGATCATACAGAGCAAAAAAGGAATATGCAACCAGTTGCAAAACACGCTCCAGCTAATCAGGGCAGCCTTCAACAAAAAGGCAGTGTGGTGCACCTTGTATTCAGAAACCTGCATAACGCACTCTGTCTGATAGGGACCTAATGTTGTGTTCACACTACAAGCAACACAGCAACAGGTTAAAGGCCCTGACACACCAAGCCGACGGTCGGCCGTTGACCAAAGTCGGGCCATCGGTGAGTGTCTGTCGGCCTAGTTTTTGCAGTGTGTCCTGCGCCGTCTGCCCTTCGGTGTCGGCGTCGGCGGCTTTTTGGCTGATTGAGCATGTTGAATCGGCGGCGGAGCTAGTCGGTGAGAGAGATCACTCTGATTGGCTGTTCAGGTTTTATTTCCTTGCTCCTGTAGCAAGTGAATCTGCCTGTAGTGAAACTGGGGCTAACTGGTGCTTCCTCCTCAGGCTCTACTTCACTCAGCTGCCCACAGACCAGCAGCTTCTTCCCACTTTAACCTGAATAACAAACCGGAGCTAGCTGGGAGGCAAGCGGAGCGTTAGCCGCAGCATGACCGGAGGAATGCACAGCCAGTTAACCTCCGCTAGTCTGAGCTAGCCCCGGCTCTCTGTTTGGATCCAACCGGAGCACTGAGCCCTGGTTGGGTTATTCAGGTTAAAGTGGGAAGAAGCAGCGGGTTTATTGGGCAGCTAAGTGAAGTGGAGCCTGCAGAAGAAACATCAGGACCTTCTGAATGTAATAGTCCGTGGAGGTGCTGCAGTGCTCGGCTGCACAGATAGGTAACACTTTGGCTGTCAGGATGCACCACTCTGCTCTCTCTCACGCAGGCGCAGAACGTACGTGCTACTTGGCCGTCGGATTTAGTCCGTGTAGTGTGTTCAAATGCAACTGACACAGGGTGACGTGAGGCGACGTAGACGATGCAACAGTTGGCTTTTGTCGCCGCTAGTTCTTTGATGTCGGTTTGGTGTGTCCGCACCTTTAGAGTCTTTTTCAGTGGAAGCTGGAGACACGAAGCTACAAACTGACATCCGACACTTGATGCTGCTGATGGGCATAGAATAGAATAATCTTTATTGTCATTGCACAAATAAGGAAATTCTGTTGGAGCAGTCCTCCAGTTGCCCAGGCTTATAAATATAAAGATAAAATAAGTAAAAACAAAGAGACATATATACACAATAGGGCACAATTATCAAGCATGACGCACTACAAATAAAAGTTAAGCCGGCCTCAACTTATTTCAGCACTCTAATGACATGGTGAGGCATCAACCAATCATATGTTTTAGTTTGTAGCTGTGGTAGCCTACTGTATCATTTAGGTTACTTAGCGGACGCTATACTAGCTGTCTGTGTATTGCGGTGCACAGAGGGATGCAATGGGGAGGTGAAAGGTGTTGTTAAAATGTGGCTCAAACACTAAACAAAAGCATAGATCTTGTTTTCACCTAATACAAACTTTAAAGGACGTTCAGTCGAGGTGCTTTGTTGCAAGGAGCAGGCACACACAAGCCTGTGACAGCATAACCAGAGTTGGAAATTAACTTTTTGTCCACCTGCCACTGTGGCTGGTGGAATCAGCCACTCAACAGATTATCTTTGTTTGGCTGGTGGATGAAGTAAATCTAGTAGCAACTTGCATATTTTACCAGCATTTGGCTGGTGCTAACACTTCAACAGTAGCTCTGCAACAATGTAACTGGTCATGCTGTTGCTGTGTCATGTGTAGTGTGAAAACAGCATTAGAGCACCTTGAAAGCCACAAAATCAAACATAACTCTGTTGATGTAGATCAGTGATCGTAAACTAGTGGCCTATTCATATTTATGAATTCAGAAAATGTGAGGAAAAATAAAAATGCGTTCCAGTATTTTGGATATCTCGCAACTGAGATAGAGGTAATATTTATTAGGAATGATTTACCAACTTTATTAACTTACAGAAACATTATATGCAGTGTACACCTTCCACCTAAATGGAAATGTTCGAAACAGCAACAGAGTAAACTTGCTACTGAATTTAAGACAATCAGAGGCAGTCAGACGTGACTGATGATGTGTCTACAGCTGTTAAACAAAACTGAAATAAATACTCAAATCCGTGAAGTGATTTATAATTTCCACCCCGAGGACAAAAAGTTTTAACTTTACAGAACTGTTTGGTGTAAAAATCATTGCAACCTCTCACCTTTCCTGAGTTCATCTCTCTTCTTGGCAGCGTCCTCCCTCTGTTTCTTGATGATGGCCAGTCTGGCCAGGTCGGCCCTGGCCTGCTCAGTCTTCCCCTCATAATGGAGCTTCATGTAGCGTTCCTTTGATTTCTGCTTCTCGATCTCCTCTCTGGCAGAGAGAACAGGGGGGCATATGCATAAGATCAAGTTAACAAAATAAAAAGCCTGGTGCCAGGGCAAATGATTTGATTTAAGAACCTCAAAAATACAGCAACATATATACAAATATTCCTTTCCTAAGTAACTGTGTGACACCTACCTCTCCCTCCGAGACAGCTCTCTGGGAGCATCAACGTCTAACTCAGCCACCTTCTTGCTCTTCTGAGACACACGGTTGGGATTCTCGATCTCTATAAGCCCCTCCACTCCACTCCTCTTCCTGGACTGTGTACAAAAAGGGACACCTTTATAAAACACAAGTGAGACAGGAAACCACGCCTGCAGAGCTGGGAAATAATGGCAGAGGGTAGTGAACTTTTCAAAACACACTTTCAGACCCATTTTATTTTTCATGTGCATTTTCTAATTCCCACCAATGCTAAAAGTAATCAATGTTACATTAGAATACAGACAGCAATGACAATGGATTTTCAGCTACATGCATTTTAGCAAGGCAAGACTTAAATGCTAATTATTAGGTGTAGTGTCAGTCCTTCAACCCCACCAAGTTCTAGATCGAGTAGTTTCACTCCCAAGTCAACATTAAACCCCTGACATCACTCACGTCAGATTCATCTTCACTGCTGCTCTCTTCATCAGAATCTGCAGAGCTCTCCTTGTCTGCACCAGGATTTTCTTCCTGTTAACATACACACTGAATCAAACCAGACCTAGTTTGACAGTACCTCCATTTCTGTCACAAAAGGTTTTCACTCACCAACTCTTTCTGTGCTCTCATCTGTCGGTCAATCTCATCAGGGTTGCTGAATTGCTTCCCTCTGCCCTTGTGGCCCCTCTTCCCTGTAAAACAAATGTAATAGTTGTTAGAGGCAATTCAACTGCATCCATCTGTTTTTGAAGTTTGTCATTATACAAGCAAACTACAATGTGTGCGAAATCATTTCCAGTACAGGGACACATTTACATTTATGCTACATCCACTCAACAACTGTACGATGTAATGTCATTAAAATGTTGCCCTTGAATTAATAACAGCCTCAAAAAAGCTTTTTTAGTTGATACTGAAAGGCCTAGACGAGACACTATGATAATTTCATCAGTCACAGTTTGCGGTGCTGTATAATCAAGATGGCATTATGTGGTACAGGTGTGTCTGTCTGTATGTATGCTCTCTGTATGTGGACACACCTGTTCCTAACCATCTCTGGATGATAACATCACAACACAGTTCAAACCTGTAATTACAGTTCTACATTTAAGATCTCAAGCTGGTGCAAAGTGAAAACAAGGACAGAGAGTATGTGGGGTAGGAGATGAGTCACACATGACGTTCACTGAGGGCCAGCTATTTTCACAGGCAAATGTAGAGCTAGTATTCGGGACAAGGCGGCAAAAACAGCCAGATACATATCCAGTGAATACTTAAACAAAAGATTTGCGCACATATCTGGTGGTAGCAACAGTCACTATCTGCTAAGAAGCAAAGTAAATGCTAATACATATGTTTAGGTAAGCTACAGCGCTCTACTTTGCACATGGTGCTAGCGGTTATAGATAAGCGGCCAGAAATAGACTCGTTAAACCATTTAAATGCTGAAATTATCATCAAGTATTCATGTTAAGACACTGATTAATCACTAATGGTACATGCTGTGTCTTTCCAGAATCGCTCACACCGGCAAATATTCCATGCTAACCGGTTAGCATGCTAAAAGCTAAGCATGTGAGAGTTCATAGGAATTCTTAGTACTTTAGCGAGCTAACAATTCGTTAGCTCGAATTAGCTTGCTGACATTAGCATTTACTTTAATGTCAATACTTACCGCCCCGAGGCATTGTTAAAAGCGAAGTGTACACAGATAAAGTCCGCTACTGAATCGCTGAATATTGTGATAGTTGTAAAAGCAAAGGCGACGGCTTGAAGTGTTGAAAGAAAAAGCTAGAAACTACTTGGTCTCTCCCACTGTCGGCACCACCAACGTTGAAACACTGCAATAACTGATGAAAGTCTGCGCCTGCGCAGTTAGGGCCATTCAACCAATCATTGCACTGAGCATTTAAACTTACATGTACAGCCATCAATTAGATAAAGAGGGTCAAATTTACTCATGTAAGGCCGTACCTTTCATTGACAGTAACCCATTATTAATTTTAATACAGTATATTATCATGATATGCAGTTGTACTTTGAAGAAAAAGTCCCATTTCAGAGGTGCACTCTCACAAGAGCAATGAAATTCCAAACTACTTTTCAGAATGGATAAGAATGTGATCATTACATCATGATATGGGGAATATTACAGTGTCATAAAATATGAGCAATGCAGAAGAGAATAAAAAGCCAAGATCTTCTATGCAGGTTGGTGTAAAAGCATTACATTACATTATCATGATCTAATTCTAATGTTGTAATAAACATTACCAGCATTTTGACCAAGAAGCTCTGCAAAAAGCCAGCAAGTAGCCTTTGAGAGTCAAACTACTGTCCCCAAGGTCAAGAATAAACTTTTAATTTATTAGGATTATTTAAGCAAGAGCAGGCAGCACAGGTGGAGCTGGATAAGGAGTGAAAATAGTTTACAATATGCTGTAAAAACTCAGATTTATCCTCGTCTTCTTGTCAATGTGTCACTGATTATGACTCAACAAACTTTCAGTCCAATAAGTGGTTTTAGCAATATTCTGAAAACTGAGTGAAAAACTGGCACTCCCTGTGATGGCTTTTACTTTTAATCTAGATAGAAAATACAGTAATACAAAAAAATGTAAAAAGAAACAGTCAGACAATACTTGTCATATATATGTAAAAGATGTAGAAGAAGATGTAGTGCATTGAACAAAGATGTTCACAGTTGTTTCAGATTTACAGTTACAAATGCAGGACATGACAAATAAAAGAAGGCACTAAATCTGATTGAAAGGTAGCTGCTTTTAACTACAAGCAGTGCCAAGATCTACAACACAAGAATCCTCATTATGCAAAAAAAAAAATGGGCTCATTACTTTATCTCTGTAGTTATGAGCAAACAAAACAAAAACAAAGTAACACTTCTTTTTACATCAGCAAACTTCAAACTGTCTGCAAATAAACAACATTTTCCATGATGAAGGCACTGGATCAGATTTGTCATTTCTTCCTTCGGTGTTGGGTCTTTATATCTTCCACTTCTTTTTCTATCAGATGGTACTCAACAGTCGTCTCTGTCAACTAGGAGGGAAAGATTAAATATCAGTCATTTAACAGATTTTGTAGGATGATAAATGACATCTAATATCAACTGCTTCTGATACCCATCGACTGGAAATTGAGTGTATATTAAAATGTATTACGCAAACTTTTAGAATTAATCCAAGCAGTGTTTGACTTGTGTTAAACCTATGTTGCAAGCATTGTTATAGAACCTGATTGCCTGAGCCATTCATACATGAAAAACACAGGTTTATCCAAGGTCATTGCATCTGTCTGAAAAAGGTTAGAGGAGGAAGGGGCCAGAATAAATTAGTAGCATGCTTGCAGAAACTTGCATATTCCATCTTTAATGCTACTGAGAATGTTAAGGCATGATGAAAGCTGCTCAGCTCTTACCATGTCCAGGAGAATTTCAATCTTTAGTTTCAAGAGGTTGTTCTCTTCCTCCAGCTGCACATTTCTTTTCTTAAGCCGCTGCAGCTCCCTACCAGACCCATTCCCACCAGATTCTGGTTCACCAAAAACAGAAAAAACAGGAATTAATGTTGTTTTGGCCATTCAGAGACCACGGAAATGGTGAGATTCTATGCACGTAAACAGTGGAAGCATCCATTGCACTGATTTAGATCAGCATTTTTAACTCATTACCTGATATCCACTGTCCATCTTCAAATTTCCAACTCTGACCTCCAAGGTTCATCACAGGAGGTCCATACTCAAGGCCCAGCTCTATTTCTCTTGTTGAGCGATCCAACTAAGACATGAGGAGGTACAAATACAATAGGTCATTCTGCATGCAATGAATGAATGAATGCTTACACAATATCAAGATGCAGTCCCTTTGGCATAACCCACACCTCTATTATCCCAAAACAAGGTGTTCAACACATTTGCTTTTGTTTATCCCATCAGTATATCCTCTTGGTTGATCAGTGTAGATTAAAAGGTCAATGAGAGATAAGCCTTATTTGACCTTTTACATCAGCACACTTTATTTAAACAGTGTTTTTAGCACAATGACGTTAACTAAGAACACAAAGTCTCTAAACACACCGTGTGGAGGCTGGACAGAGATGCAGACTTGCGAGGTGGAATCTTCTTCGGACTGAATGTGTTTCCAAAGAGCGGCATCTTTAGTGACTTCTTAAGTTCCTGTATAAAAGATGGGACACAGTAGTAGCATTAGTATTTTACAGACGGAAGCATCACGTCGCCACAGTCAGTTGACTGTATTTATCGTTGCTAACGGCACGTTACCAAGCTAATGCTAGGTGGCTAACACTAGCTAGCTGTGAGTACTACCCATACCTGACATTAAATTGAAACTGTCGACTGCCTCACAGGCGGGTTAGTAGTTGTTTTGTCACTGAAAATATATATCTAATATATTTACCTCCATACAGACTATTTATTTAAATTCCTAACGTAGCGGTGGAAATTCTTTTCTCTCAAAACCATACTTGCTACTGCGCAAGCGTGTAAAGTCCAGTCTGAAATGGGCAACACCGTGAAATATTGCACAGCTTTAATACAAAGCAGCTGGAAAAGATTTACCAACACCAACAAGTTTACGATATTTAATATGAAATTCTATGCTTTAATGCTCTACCTAGGAACTTTTATGCATATTTTAATAGTAAAGTCACATTCGGCTAATGTAAACACCCCTATATAGAGGAGATAATGGAACCATCCATGAAACGTAAAGGCATCACCATGGTGACGCGTCACTCGACCTTTCCAACTGTTTATATTCGTGCATATATTTTATATTCAGAGAAACTAATAAAAATGTTGTTTCGGAAACTCAACTTGTAAAAATGGAGCTTTTGAATTTTACAAATATTATATCTACAGACATACCAGTTATAAACAACCGGTAGTTCCGGATATAAATAAGGTTGACCCCGCCCTTTCTCTCATACCGCCCCAGTGGCCTAATGGATAAGGCACTGGCCTCCTAAGCCAGGGATTGTGGGTTCGAGTCCCATCTGGGGTGAGCTCTTTTGCTCAGGAACGGAGAAGCTGTATGTTATGAGATATATCGTTGTTACGAAAAATGTTTCAAGCAACTAAAACAAACAGCAACCGGAAAACGGAGGTTCATCGGGTCTTGAAAACACACTCCATCCCCGGCGCCCTCACTGGAAGTACTCTTAACAAGGACATATATTTATTAAAGTAGGCAGAGATTCGCAGGAAAATATCAGCTGGCATGGAGAAGCAAAGCATCAAACTGTGCGTCCTGCTGAGCACTTTGGCCGCATCAGTGCAAACTAACCGTGAGTAATTTAAGGGAAACCTATTTTTAATCCAGCATAATACAATTAAACTTACTGTTAGGTTACTGTTAAAGACAAGCTGGGTGTTTATATTTTAATAGATACATTTCATGTTATCATACAAACATGTCACCTAAATGTTAGGTGTTATATCATATTTTTCTTTGTTCTATTCCGCACTATTCTATTTATATAGGCTATATATTATTTTTTAAACATATAAATTATTTTGTGTCATGTTATAGTTACTAAATCGCTCATGTTTACTTGTATGTATATACCTACCCATGCTAGAAATCAGATTTAGCTTCAAATATTACATTAAATTCTAACTGTATGTCCAAGTAACTACACTAATCAATGTGAACCCTGAGTCATATTCATTTAACAGTAACAAGTCAAGTCACCAAATAATAAAAAACAATTTATTTTTATTCATAAGTCCTGTTTTCCTTATAGTTCATTCAATTGGTGTCATGACATTATGTTACATAATATGTGTTATTCAACCTCATCCCCTTAACCCTGTCAATCCTCACACAATGGTAGAGCTCCAAGAGGCCACTGTGTACTGGGATGTTGCCCAGAAAAGTGTGATCCTGAAAGAGGGGGTGATGGAGACAGAGGGGGGAGCCTACGGTTACTTCAATGACACCCTGCTCCTCTCTGGATGGGGGGTCTTGGAGATCTGCGCGGGTCATGGGGGAATGACACAGGAGGATGAGACCACCTTCTTCCTAGCGGGGTACCTGGAGGGTTACCTCACTGCTGGGTGAGTGTCACAGGCCAACACAAGCAGACTTGTTTGAAATATCTCAAACTAAAACTCTCTGAGCCCACGCAGCCGCACCTGTAGTTTGCTACTGACGGACAAACTCACCTGAACACATCATCAGTTCAAGTCTTTGTTCTAGATATTGAATCAGAAAATAGAGAATTCTGGGCTTAACAAACAACCTAATGTTTTTCAGATGGAAGCCCCTGAAGATGGGGGTCTTTGGCATAATGTGTATACATTTTGGGTTCCTTGATATGAAAAAGGTTGAGAACCATTGGTTTCATTAATTGGATTACAGTACTGACTACAGTTGTGACAGTGTCCTTAGTAACTGCAGCTCTAACTGTATTTACTTGGTGTGTCATAGAAATGGTTTAATTCCCACAGTCTTCTTATTCTTTCTCCACAGACAGATGTTCAATCATTACTCCAACATGTACCCCCAACTCGTAAAGGATGAGAAGGTCTTGAATCCCCTGAAAAGGTTTTTAAGGTACAGTCCCACCATCTGCTCATGTCCATGGCTTACACTGAGATTAGATGCTAAGAATACTTTTAATATACCAGAGGTTCCTCCCTTCAGCTGCAGAGAAACAGTCTGTAAAACTTGCAAGGAATGAGAGAAGAGAGAGATTCACTGAAGTGATATCATGTCCTACGGTGGTTGAGATACTTTTTTACCTGACTAAATGGGTTTGAAAGACCAAGGGTGGATTAATGAACGGGCCTAATGGGCACAGGCCCAGGGGCCCAAAGTGTCAGAGGCCCCTCTACCTTTAAAATGCTACTCAGATTAACATGTACCAGCCATGACGAAATTGAAAATGACCACAAAGAAACACAAAGCAACTACAAAGACATGCAAAACAGCTGCAAAGAGACACAAAGAGACAGACACAACTATAAAAAGGGGCAAAACAACCACAAATAAACACAAAATGACTACAAAAGCCCACAAAATGACAAAAAAGAGACACAAAACAACTACTAAAAGGGGGAAAACAACCACAGACGCAAAAAAGAGAGACACAAATTTATCAGAAAGGGGAAGAAATTAACTACAAAGAGCACAAAACCACAGAGAGATGCACAACAACCACAAAAAGACACAAAACAGCCAAACAACAAACAACTACACAGTCTCTGTTTCTTGCTCCTATGTAGCAGAGGTGGTGGGGCCGTCTGTGTGTCTGTGCCCAGGAGCCCAGTGTGATCTGCCTATGTGAAATACTTTATATTTGTATTTATTTTAGTATTTTTATTTGTAGAAATTCAAATTTTAAGATTTTGATTGATGACTCACTGTCAGCTTCAGCAGAATTGTCTCATATTTGGTAAACACCAATTGCGAAATTGACATTTATGCATGCAGTGAATGCTATAATTTTGTACTCAGATGGACAGCTAAATCAAAAGAAGCTGCCAAAAGCACTCATTAGTGACAGAAACAGTCTGAAGTGGCTCTCAGCTGTCTGAATGATCTGCAGCAAACAGGACCAGTGGGCCAGAGAGCAGGTGAAACTGAAGAGATACAGTGACCCCCAGTGGAAGCATCTGGGACTGATCCTGGCCCAGCTGGACGGACTCCATGCCGGAGCTGCAGAGTGGGCCAAAAGCAACCATAGAGAGGTGTGTGAATGTGTGTGTGTGTTTAGAGAGCTGGTGAGAGAGTTGTCACAGTACCATCTCAGTCATCTCTGCCACCTCCGCCCTCTCTCCCCAGCCTCTGTCTGCGTTCACCTTCCAGTTTCTGAATGGCGTCGGCGACCTCCTGGACCTCATCCCAGCTCTGACGCCTCGCTCCAACTCCTCCACAGGGACCGGCACTTTTAGGATGCCAGGAATGGGCCACTGCACTGCTCTCATTAAGGTTAGGCCAAGCTCATTTGGCTCAAGCTGTGAAGGAGCACTTGGGAGGCCTTGACGCCTAATTAGTTTTATTGTGGGTCCTTGTGCATAGGGGTTCCTCTTCTGAAGTGTGTCGATGAGTGCAAAAGGCCACTGGGAGGAGGATGTTTTTCTCTTCCACCTGCACTCATTCAGGCAAAACAAAGTACAAATGGAATGGAGAAGATTGAGTGATGCATTGCAATCACATCATTAGGTTTTAATTAATGAGACTTTATTATTCTTTTCTCGTTTCATTACAGGAGCCTTAAAGGAATACTTCAACCCAAAAATGATCACGTGTATATCAGTTAGTCACCCAGTGTTACACTAGATTCATGCAAAGAAACTTTGATTTTCTTACATGCCTCCATGGTGAATGAGGGATCAAAAAACAAGAACATTCTTGATGAATTGAAGCCATAGGGGTCCACAGCAAAACTATATCAAAACATCCGTTGATAAACTCTCACACACCTTGTGAAGAATAACCCAAGGCTCATTTATTCAGTTGTATGCTCAGCTCTTCCCAACCACATGCATTTTCATTAAAACCTTACTATTTAAAGCACTTTTGCATGTGAGCAGCATGCTCCATTGGAATGCAATGGAGGCTGTAATGGAATAGAATTAATGGCGTTATATATCTAAATCAAAAATAGAAGTAACTCTGTTCCGTTACAGTTCAGCTACAGTTTAAATTGGTAGTATTCTGAATATGGTTACTGTCTTTAAATATTGATTATTTAAAGAGATTACATTATTTGTTTTTGTTATATTTGTTCTAACACCATGTCCTTTCTGAATGCAGTGTGAACTTCAGTTTGATTGTATTGTTTTCTACTGGAATGTTCTAACTGGCTGCGAGCAATGCAGCACTGATGTTTTGAGCTGAACCTTTTGTCAGTTGCCCTTTTTCTATCGATCTGTCGATCGCTTTTAAAGGTGCAGCTAATTTATGAAGTTGAAATGAGACATTATCTACACAACACCTCCTCATTTCACTACAAAAACCTAAATAAGGTGAGAGCTGACTGAAGGGACATTGCCAGGGAATGAAAGTTACTGGTAAATGACCATCACAACCTACTTGTGGAAGTGCATATTCAAAAGACTTAGTGTGGGCAGAGAGGGATGCTCACTTACTATTAGGACACGGTGTAAAATTCATATGAGGCATGCATTTTGCATGTAAAGATTTTTAACAAGTGTTTGCAGTGCATCGCTACATGACAATGGCAGTAGAGGTGCACAGCCAGGACACTGCCTCGTGTTTTCAGCACAGAAAAGTAAGACCCAGTCAAATGAACTCAGCAAGACAATTTTAAAGTATTTCAAAAGTAATCTAAGTATATACAGTACAGGCCAAAAGTTTGGACACACCTTCTCATTCAATGTGTTTCTTTATTTTCATGACTATTTACATTGTAGATTCTCACTGAAGGCATCAAAACTATGAATGAACACATGTGGAGTTATGTACTTAACAAAAAAAGGTGAAATAACTGAAAACATGTTTTATATTCTAGTTTCTTCAAAATAGCCACCCTTTGCTCTGATTACTGCTTTGCACACTCTTGGCATTCTCTCCATGAGCTTCAAGAGGTAGTCACCTGAAATGGTTTCCACTTCGCAGGTGTGCCTTATCAGGGTTAATTAGTGGAATTTCTTGCTTTATCAATGGGGTTGGGACCATCAGTTGTGTTGTGCAGAAGTCAGGTTAATACACAGCCGACAGCCCTATTGGACAACTGTTAAAATTCATATTATGGCAAGAACCAATCAGCTAACTAAAGAAAAACGAGTGGCCATCATTACTTTAAGAAATGAAGGTCAGTCAGTCCGGAAAATTGCAAAAACTTTAAATGTGTCCCCAAGTGGAGTCGCAAAAACCATCAAGCGCTACAACGAAACTGGCACACATGAGGACCGACCCAGGAAAGGAAGACCAAGAGTCACCTCTGCTTCTGAGGATAAGTTCATCCGAGTCACCAGCCTCAGAAATCGCAAGTTAACAGCAGCTCAGATCAGAGACCAGATGAATGCCACACAGAGTTCTAGCAGCAGACCCATCTCTAGAACAGCTGTTAAGAGGAGACTGCGCGAATCAGGCCTTCATGGTCAAATAGCTGCTAGGAAACCACTGCTAAGGAGAGGCAACAAGCAGAAGAGATTTGTTTGGGCCAAGAAACACAAGGAATGGACATTAGACCAGTGGAAATCTGTGCTTTGGTCTGATGAGTCCAAATTTGAGATCTTTGGTTCCAACCGCCGTGTCTTTGTGAGACGCAGAAAAGGTGAACGGATGGATTCCACATGCCTGGTTCCCACTGTGAAGCATGGAGTAGGAGGTGTGATGGTGTGGGGGTGTTTTGCTGGTGACACTGTTGGGGATTTATTCAAAATTGAAGGCACACTGAACCAGCATGGCTACCACAGCATCCTGCAGCGACATGCCATCCCATCCGGTTTGCGTTTAGTTGGACGATCATTTATTTTTCAACAGGACAATGACCCCAAACACACCTCCAGGCTGTGTAAGGGCTATTTGACCAAGAAGGAGAGTGATGGAGTTCTGCGGCAGATGACCTGGCCTCCACAGTCACCGGACCTGAACCCAATCGAGATGGTTTGGGGTGAGCTGGACCGCAGAGTGAAGGCAAAGGGGCCAACAAGTGCTAAACACCTCTGGGAACTCCTTCAAGACTGTTGGAAAACCATTTCAGGTGACTACCTCTTGAAGCTCATGGAGAGAATGCCAAGAGTGTGCAAAGCAGTAATCAGAGCAAAGGGTGGCTATTTTGAAGAAACTAGAATATAAAACATGTTTTCAGTTATTTCACCTTTTTTTGTTAAGTACATAACTCCACATGTGTTCATTCATAGTTTTGATGCCTTCAGTGAGAATCTACAATGTAAATAGTCATGAAAATAAAGAAAATGCATTGAATGAGAAGGTGTGTTCAAACTTTTGGCCTGTACTGTAGAATACGTTACTTAGTTTGAGTAATCTAATGGAATACATTACAAATTACATTTGAGGGCATGTATTCAGTAATCTGTAGTGGATATAGTGAAGTTTTAAATAGTGAGGTTTTTGCAAAAATGCATATGTTTGGGAAGTACTGAGCATAAGACTGGATAAATGAGACTTAAAATATACTGCACGAGTTGTGTGAGAGTTTGTAAATGGATGTTTTGATATAGTCGTGCTGTTGTTAAACATGGACCCCTATGAATTTTCTGTTTATGGATTCTTCATTCACTGGCATGAGGCATGAAAGAAAAACAAAGGTTTTTTTTTCAGAATTCCATGTAACACAAGGGCGAGTTAATGACATTCAAACAATCATATTGTGGACGAAGTATTCCTTTAATGTTGCTGTCATGCAAACATTTTCTTATTAGCACTTAACACAAAGTACAGCTGTTGGGAATGTCATAGTTCTGCAGGTGCTAAATCATAAGCCAAATTATTGGACTGTTCAAAATTCTGGCGTGATCAGGGGAGCTGGTTAAAAAGTTTAGGGGGTAAGGAAATTACAGTTATAACAATTGTGATAGTAATAGTGATTCAGTAAATTGCATACATGCCCTAAATAGTCCACTGTTTTATTACTGCCAACGTCAGACACAACATGCACACAACCCTCACCACAACCTGTTCTCTCCCTCCTCTGTGTCCAAGGTGCTGCCAGGCTTTGAAAACCTACTGTTTGGCCACTCTAGCTGGTACACGTATGCAGCCACCATGCGAATCTATAAACACTGGGATATCAGGGTGTCTGACACACACACCGCCACCGGAAAGATGTCATTCAGCAGCTACCCTGGTACACACACTTGCACAAAGTACAGTGTCTCACTTGAGTTGCACAGCCTGTATTTACACTCTCTCCTCCTCCAGTTTGTCAACCTATGTTACAGCGATACACAGCTTTCTTGTAAAAGCCCTGCACAGAGGTGAACTGCTTGTCCTTATTAATCCACATGGTTTCATTTCCATCTTGGAAAATATAAACACTGACATCAGGGACTTAACCCAAATCCTTAATGTACATTCTCTTGCCTACTGAAAGTAATTCTTCTGCTAAGCACACAGCTTAGTCAGTGATGAGGAACCTTCCACCGCCGTGTGTGTACAAAACAGAGAAACAATGATGTATTCCCTCACCGTCGAGTCAGAGGAGGCTGAGTAATTTTGTGGGCAAAGATTTGCAGAGTGGTCCGGGCCATAAAAATCCTCTTACGGGCTCCGTTGCTATCAGAACAGTGGTTTTAATGCACTATTTTTAGAGACCAGCAGGCCAAGGATATCACTTCATTATATTAAAACGAAGAGATGAAATACACCCCTGCCACTGGAGGTGGTGTGTGACCCCTGCAGCCTTCTTAAGCTGCTTTCTCTCTGACAATGTGAAACATTCAGCGTACACAGTAGCAGGTCGGGGCCCACAGAGCCAGAACAGATGCAGATACATTATGTAGAGGTGGACGTGGGGGTGGTGGAAATATTCCTCTGCCTATGATTTACATTATTGATAGCAGCAGCTGTATTGTATAAGCATTAATAATAGTAGTAGCAGCAGCAGAAGTAGTAGCAATAGAAGTAGTAGTAATGGAAATATAATTTTAGTAGCAGAAGTGTTAAAAGAACCAGAAGTATGTCTTTCTGTATGTAGTTATAGTAATACCAGTAAGCAGTGGTGGATCTTCCTATAGGCAACATTAGATTAAATTTGCAAATTTGCACAAACTGTATTCTTGTTATTTATTATTATTGTTTATTAGCTCATGTGTCTCGAGTATTTCCCTAACATGACCCTAAAACCACCACCTCCTCCTCCTCCTCCCCCTCTTCCAGGCTTCCTGATGTCTCTGGATGACTTCTACCTGCTTGGGAGCGGCCTGCTGATGACTCAGACCTCCATCGGTGTTTTCAACGCCTCTCTGTTCTCCCAGCTCAGCCCTCACAGCCTACTGGCCTGGCAGAGAGTCCGCCTGGCCAACAGCCTGGCGCACAGCGGAGAGGAGTGGGCACACGTCTTCTCCAAATACAACTCAGGTAAAATCCTCTTAATGTGAGTTAAATCAAAGTAGGTTAAGTTTGAAAAATTGTTACCCACTTTTCAAATACATGAATACACCAGTCTCTCTTCAGTTGAACAGAATCTGTTCTAAACCCTTAAATCCCTCCAGACGTGTCAGCAGATGACATGATGTAGAACTCCCTTATCTTTGCCTGAGCAAACATTTTGATCGTACGGATTATAGCTTCTGCCTGCCTCGCATATTATTATGTAGACTCGATCATCTCACAACCAAAGAAATGGCTGACAGACTAAAGATCAACCATGACTAATCAGTGCCAGCAGATAGTGGCCAACCAGGTATCAATACTGAGAAGGTAATTTAAATAAACAATCAAATATATAGAGAAAAGGTCAGGGGATCATTAATATAAAGAGATATCTGCATACGTTTGTAGAATCTGTGGGCAAAAAGACAAGATTTTGGTATCAAAAGCCAGACCCCCATGAAAATTTTACTAGTGGCCAAATGTGGAATTACAAGTTCCAGGTTTGTCATGTGATGCCATAGACTTAGGCTACATTGTGAAAGAGACGTCTATGAATGAGTGGATATGAAAATGACTCATTTCACTATTGGAATATGATCCATTTGGTCTGATAACCTTTCTCAAGTCTAGAAGAGCCGCATGACTAAACTATTTTATCCCCATTCAAGATAGAAGAAGGCTAAACCAGACGTTAGCTCCTCAGCCAGCAGAAGATAGCCACTTCTGTTGGACTGGAAACACTGTATCCAGTTCTTGTTATACATCCAGGGCGAAAGTGTCTAGATTTATGTTTGTACTATTGACCAATGCTGTTTGAGTAGGCTTTGGTTGCATGAAGGTAAACAGTCTATGTGAAGAGCAAAAGAGACAGACCTCATAGGCCGAAATGCATTCTCGGAACCCATCAGCTATTGGCCGAGGACTTTTTATCAGCTTCTATTTTTTTGTGTTTATCTACATTCATATGAAGATACCATGACTCTGTGTATACAATGTCTCAAATTGCTAATCAGACAGCTATCAATAACCGGCGCATGGAAGAGAAAGTCTTGGCCGTCATCTGGATATCCACACCCAAACCCCTGAAATACTGGTCGTTGTCCTCCGAAGCTAAATCGTTGTCACACTGACAGCCAATGGCTTCGGAAACTGGGGATCACCAACGTTATTACACTTTATCCTGTGGGGGGCATGAACATCAGTACTAAATGTCACAAAAATCTGTCCATTAGTTGTTGAGACATTTCACAGAAGTTGGTAGAGTTCATCCCCTGCGGACCATGAATGTCTGCACCAAATTATATGCCAATTCATTAAACAGACGTTGAGATATTTCACAGGATAAGGGGAGAACTTTTACCTGCTTGTGGCGCTGTAGGAAAAGTCAGGGGCTCACCAAAGTTATTACAGTCCGTCCTCAGGGGGACATGAATATGAGTACTTTTACTTTAACAATTAATGTAACCTATATTTGAGTAATAGTAAGATGGGAGAGGGCAGAGAATTAAGAACAGACAGGAAGAAAATCAGACTTGCAGAAAGGCATGAATGATGAATTACCTTGGTCTGGAGCTAAAACCCTGACTATGTAAAAATTCACATGACAAATTTCCATAGAGATTTACCAGACTCCCAAACAGACCATCCTTCTCATTACATGACACTTGTGTTAATTGGGCAGCTGCTTTGATCTTTCACGTCATGTTGCTATGGGAGGGCACAGGAGAACAGGACAGAGTGTTCTTGAGACTGAAAGTCCTCTCATCACCCAACAGCGCCTGCTCTCATACTATCCAGTCCTGCCAAACTGTTGTGGTGGCCTGCAGGCATGAGAGCCTTTACCTTTGCCTGTTCTTAATCTTGACGTAGACATGGTTAGGTTAGGGATTTATTGTCTGTGCAAGTCAGTGACTCCAGAGCCAGAAGTTAACCATCTCTAGTGTCAGATCCCTCAGGCACATGCAGGACTGTGCATGTTATTTTTCCTGTGCAAATCACACACTGGAAGCAATGCAACTAGATAATAATGCAACTTTTTTTTGTATTACATAAACCCACTATACTATTGTGGTAGGTGTGCATCTTTTGGTCCAAATCATGTAGGTTTTATGTCAATGCAAACTTTCCAAAGATTAAAGGAAGTTTTAAAACTAACTTCCTTCTTTGTAGAAAGTAGTGAGTTTATGCCAATACAGTATTGCAGTGCTCACAGAGACAGTCTAACTTTACCTGTTGGTGTGTTCAAGGATGTGTTGATATCTGATATTTGGAAGATCATTGTGTTTGATGCTCCTTTTCAGCAGCTAGCTTAAAGGGATAGTGCATCCAAAAATGAAAATTCAGCCATTATCTACTCACCCATATGCCGAGGGAGGCTCAGGTGAAGTTTCAGAGTCCTCACATTCCTTGTGGAGATCCAAGGGGAGAGGGGGTAGCAACACAACTCCACCTAATGGAGGCTTACAGCGCCCCAGATTCAAACATCCAAAAACACATAATTGAAACCACAAAATATCTCCATACTGTTTTTCCGTAGTGATCCAAGTGTCCTGAAGCCCCGACATTTGAACTCTATTTTTAGCCTCATTGTAGCCTGTAGCTCTAACTGCTTCTCTGTGCACAGTGCCCACGTGTGCGTGCTTGCGCGAGACCGTGAGACATGGGCAACACTTTCATGTGTGTTCATGTGCTTTCCCTGGTTTCGCGCGTAAGCGTTTTTGAACGTTTGAATCTGGGGCGCCGTAAGCCTCCATTAAGTGGAGTTGTGTTGCTCCCCCCTCTCCCCTTGGATCTCCGCAAGGGATGTGAGGACTATAAAACTTCACCTGAGCCTCCCTCGGCATATGGGTGAGTAGATAATGGCTGAATTTTCATTTTTGGGTGCACTATCCCTTTAAGGAGTTCTTTAGCCGGCTAGCAGCATGGCTCTAGGATTGGCAATGTCGGTCCATTACCTAAATACAGATTCAAATATCTTTACTGATTGATGGATTGCAGTGAAATCTTATGCAGACATTCATGGTCCCAAGAGGATAAATCCTACTGACTTTGGTGATTCTCTGACCTTTCCTTTCGCACCACCAGCAGGCCAAAATTTTTAATTTGTCCAATACTTGACATAGCCTTTAAGCTCAAAGCACAGTTGGTTACAGTGCAGCCACTGGTTCTGATGTGTGTGCGAAGTTTTGTGAGTTTTGGAGCACCTTTAACCCCTCAAAAATGTGATTAATTTCAAGGAATAAAAGAACAGTAATAATGTTCCTTTATTTAATATAATATCACATTTTGCACCCCTTCTGATGTGTGTGCGAAGTTTTGTGAGTTTTGGAAAAATGCAAAAACGTGATTCATTTTGAGGAGGAAGAAGAAGACGCCATGGGTACTAGCAAGGCGCTGAACAGTGCTGCTGTGCATTTCTGTAAAGTCGGACACTTAACTGGTATTTCCTGCGTGGAGTGTGTGAGCTGGAAATAACCCAATGCAAACTTCGTTCCTTCCTGTATCCACTATGTGGTGCTAGAAAACAAATACTAATTATACTTCATGTTGATCTATATCAGTTGGAGACCTCGCCATGTAAATTTCATGTAAATCAAATGATGACTGTCCCACAAGTTTCACTTTTCCATCAACACAACCGCTTTTTACCAACTTCCCTTTACTTCTGATCTGTCAGAGTGTCCTTGAAAGTGGCAGCAAGGACAGTTTTAATGATGATCCAGGCTTTAATACCACACTATTATGATGTAACCATGACCAATAATAATGGTAAAGAGAACATATTGTTCACTGTAATGGTTTACCTATTTAAAGCATGCAAAAGTGTCTCCAAATTGATTTCTGTGCAACCAATGTCTGCTGTAGAGCTATCAGCATTCTCTGGAAATATGTAAAATTTGTGTAATTTGTGGCTAAAACATGCAAAACCACTACTGTTTAGGTTAATCATTTATAGTGATACTGACTTCAAAAACCATGAGGATTCTTTGTGCCTGTGAGGCAGGAAACAGAGCATGTCCCCCTCTGTGTTTTAGGTACATATAACAGTCAGTACATGGTGGTGGACCTCGACAGGGTTTCTCTGGGTCACAGTATCAGGGATGGAGCTCTGACTGTGGTGGAGCAGATTCCTGGGAAGGTGATGCACTCTGATCAGACTCAAGCTTTACGCAGAGGTAAGAAATAAAACATAGGCCTATAGGTTTATTGGTTTTATCCAGGATGGCTGTTTTAGGTGGTGATTTGTCTGGACATCCTCCACCTTTGGTGTGCTGCATTTGGCAGGTTATTGGCCATCATACAACATACCATTTCATGCTGAAATCTACAACCTGAGTGGGTACGGTGTGATGTGGAAAAGATACGGAGAGGATTTCTCTTACGACCTCTGTCCCCGAGCCAAAATCCTCCGCAGGGACCAGGCCAAGGTGTCTGACCTCAGCTCCCTCAAACACATCATGAGATACAACAGTAGGTACAACAATAAGTCATACATTCCTCATATTTCATATCCTTTCCTGAACTCAAAGGGCTTCAGGGATGTGACAGAAAACAACACACAAATAATTCAGGATATTGTTGCTATTTTCAGACAGTAAGCAGCGTGACTTAGGTCAGACTGATTCTATTTCAGACTACAAGAGAGATCCCTACTCCAAGGGCCATCCATGTAAAACCATCTGTTGTCGGAACGACCTGAGACCAAGGAGACCACGTCCAGGAGGGTGCTATGACACTAAGGTCAGAGGTCATTAGCACATCAGTGCCCCAATCAAGTTTAAGATTATGTACATTAAAAAAATGATTTTATAAAATAAATACAGACTTGTTTTGGGTGCATTTATGTGTTTTTGTATCGGAATGATTTCGTCTTTTGTTTGATATTGTTTATTGGCTAGGCACCATTGTCAGTGGGTGGCACCCCCAGAAATTTTTCATAGGGGTTGGCAGATGGGGTCACGGAAAATCTTGGGGTGGCACACCAAAACAAAAAGCCAAAACTGAACTTAAGGAATTCGATTATATTGTACCAGCCCTCCCACCCTGAAGTGCCACTATCTCTGCCCCCAACTTTCTAAAATGTTTGTAAAACTTGCAATGATATTTTACAGTCTTTACCCATTGTGTTGAGTCATTTGATAATTTTACTATATTCTTTGTTCAACAAGACTATAGTTTACAGCCTAGCTAGCTGATGGGGGCTAACATGCTCACAATGACAATGCTAACATGCCAATGCTTCATTGGTATAATGTTTAAAGCAATGTAAACTGCACATGTTTCAATCAAAGATGCCAGATTTTAGAATATGCACATATGTACCCTGCCTTAAAGAGCTGCAAACATGGAAATAATTTTGACAGTCCGTTGCTTACATCAACGGCTTTCCACTCTAAAAAAAAAAGAGCAATCAGCAATTTAAATATGACATAGAACAAACACTGATTGAACACAACCATTACAAGTTAACTGCAGGTTCTGAATGACTAAACTCCATTAACGGCAGCAGAAATGTCCTCATGGATGTCTATTAGATTTCTGAACCATATTAAGCGACCTCACTTCCTTCCTGTTGTTCACTCTTTCCTTTGTGCCCTCCTCACCCATCTATCTCATGGTACAGGTGACGGACTACCAGATGGCTGTCCAGCTGGTAGCGGAGGCAGTAAATGGCCCCACGACACAGGGGGGGCTGCGTCCGTTCTCATGGCAATCCTTCAACCTCACGACTCATCAGGGGCTCCCACACACCTACAACTTTCCCTTCGTCACTATGAGGCCCACACTGCGTCAGCCCTGAGAGCACAGAGACAGAAGATATCACCCATCCAGGAACAACTAGTCAGGCTTCCCTGTTTAAATCAGCAATACAGACTTTGTCACGACACTAGACATCCTGGTGCACCTGTGATTACTGGGCACAATGTAACAGCTTGGCAAAATATGGTAAACTGTCTCTCTAATTTGGACAAAATATAATTGAATTGTAAGTGCAGCACTAGTGCAAATTCTCCAACTGTGCAATATTATAACTAAAAATGAGTCATGAAAGGGTTAAATACAATCACAGGACAATATGAATGACTTCTTCTCCCATTGTCAAATATGCAGTCTGCATAAATTTAGTGTTATAATCACTTTTAAAGCTGATTAATGCAAATTTAAGGTAGAAAGACAGTTTGATTGTTTGACATTAAACACTAACCATTAGTATATTATCCTAAAATGCATTTTGTTTGTATGTTTAACTGAGCACCAGCCATTAGCCACAAGATGATCCTGTTAGAATCACTGCAGCTCTCATTTCTCAGTGTCCATCCAAGAGTGGCTGCATTATGACAGTGCACTCAACAGTGGTGTCTCACAAATTGTGTAAAGGTTTGATCCACACCATTTGGGATTGTAGCCATCAGGGAAATGCTATTCACCTTTTTTTTGTCTCCAATAAATACTAATTTATCTGTTTTGATGTGTTTTTCCAAGTTCTATGCAATGTTTACTCAGGTTTATACAGTGTGGTGCAAATTTATCTTACTAAATACTGACTATAATAAAGTCTTAATATTGTTCTTTGTGGTGCGTTTTCTCCTTTATTTTGTGTTCAGAATAGTTTTGCAAAAAACTACAAAACCCAGTATTTTGTCTTTATCTTTGTCAAGTTTTCCATGGAAAACTAGACCAAAACTGAAAATAGGAAACCTTTCAAAATAAAATGTTGAAATTTGCTTTTCAGAAGAACTGCTAAAATGTGTGAGGCATAATCAAAGTCCGCCCTAATATCTACAGAATAGTTACACAGCATGTGATTGTATGACAAATCAGGTCATCCACCATTCCCTCTGAAATATATAACTTTGGTACCTTAGGACAGGGGCGTAGCAAATGTTGCGCCTGTTGCATAAGCAGTCTGTGTGGGCCCACCCTTCCTCTCTTGAGCCATGTCTCTGTTACACACCTTTTTATTTTTTTGTTGTATTTATTATCATTCTTTTTTTACAATGTCAATTTGCTTTTTCTGCATTTCTATTTATTTATTTATTTTTTTACTTTTTTTGGAATCCTAATTATCCCTTCTTGGGGAGTTATGTCCTTTATATGATTTATTCAGCCAATAAGTTTTTTTGTCAATTAATTTGTGCAATGAATATATCAGGCAAGAAGCATAATTAAGTAAACTAGTAGTAAACGATTTCATTTTTTAAGTTCTATAATCTGCGTCCCATATAACAAAGGTAACGTTACAGCCAGTTTAAATATCCAATAAATCTTCTACTGGATTTTATTACTCCACGTATTAACATGCTTGGGTTAGCCGGATGGAGCTTTTATTTTGAAAGTATTTCTCGGATGTTCTACGTCTCACTTTCCGTAACTTCACACGCCTGATCTTTCAGTTCGGTTGGGGGCGGAGCTTACTCCGGCTGGTAACGGGGAGAAGAAGCCGAGGCAACAGCGGACACGGACGGACGCCCTCGCTCATCTTCATCTCGTGTCTTGCGGCTGTTTCCAAATGGCAACGACAGCGGACGACCAGCGGGAACCGGAGGACGTCGCCGCGCTGTCGACGCACCACGGCTGCCACCACAACTGCAACAACAACAATAATAATAATAATAATAACAACAACAAAGACAGCGAGGCGGGAGAGAGCGCGACGTCCGGCACCGCCAGCACCACTGAACCCGGTGGGACGGCGTCGCAGAGCATCGGTAACGGCTCGGTTATTAACCCCAGCGGGGGGAACAACGGGAAGTGGGTCCGACTGAACGTCGGCGGCACCGTGTTCCTCACAACGCGGCAGACTCTCCTCAAAGAGCAAACTTCATTTCTTTACCGGCTGTGCCAACAACAGGACCTGCACTCAGACACGGTGAGTCCGGTCAGGACACTTCAACTGCCGGTGAACGTTACTTTACAACACGCCTAACACAAGTATTACTTTGGTACAACACTTTGTAGTACTTAGTTATTAGCAATTCACTGCGTTATTAACTGTGGTGATGCTTTAATATTCCTATCATGTTAAGTTTTGTTATAACATGTTAGTGACTGCGTGTCTCTGTAAGCCAACATTTAATATCTCTTAAGGATATTAAAGAAGAAGGCTGGTACTGGCCTAACGTGAAGGGTATGTGTAACAAAGTAGACTGTTTCCTTGAAAAAACACAATGACAATTCAGTAACATTCCTGTAGTGACTCACAGTGACGTGTAGTAGTGAGTTATGATACCCTGACAGGTGGTTGTAGTTTGGCTTGACATACATTTTACAGAATATGTCATTGATTAATTTTGTAAGGTGGATTTTCTCTAAGCTGACTAAAGGGATTGCCAAAAATACATGTGCAGGTATTGGCATGAAGAAAAGCCTTGGTGTAAAAAATCTGCCCAATAATAATCATTGAATTGTGCTCTATGATGCTTTTTTAATCTCCTAAATTACCACAGTAGTGTTAAAGTGACCGTCTTACTGTGTTATGTGTGTGCCATTCCCAAAATCACTACACCTGTAATCTGCAGCTTTAAAGCAGGTGTACAGTTGACTAATGACCACCTGATATACAGTATATGTGCAGTATGACGCTCTCTCCATGGCTCCTCTGTGTGTGTGTGTGTGTGTGTGTGTGTGTGTGTGTGTGTGTTTCAGCATCATTTTGTGGTGTGAATGTAGCTTGGGTCAGATGGATGAACACGTGCCTCCTCTTCTGCAGGGAGCTGCACAGTCAGTAGCTGTACAGCTGGCATCTTATAGGGAGAGAGAGGGTGAGAGAGAGGGAGAGAGATGCATTATGTGACTCCCCGTCACATGGAGAGCGAGCACACTGTAAGGACGGGCAGGTCTCATGAATGATGCAGATTTCTATTATGCTGCTGCCTTTGATATGCATGTGTGTGACAGGGGGAGGAGGGGACAGGTCTACTGTAAGTTGACATTTTGTAGATGTCTGGTGAAAGGCTTGTATCTCTAAAATGTCAGCTGTTATAGCGACTGTAAGACAATTCGCCATAGGAGGGGGTAATGTGGATGTCCAATTATGGTATATGTAGTCTTATAGGTTGGTACAAATTAGAGCTGTAATGATTAATTGATTAGTTGTCAACTTAAATTAATGGCAAGCTAACTTGATAATTGATTAATTGGTGTGAGTCATTTTTAAGAGCTTCTTGTATGTAAATATGTTCTGGTTTCTTTATTTCCTGTATGAAAGTAACCAGAATGTGTTTGGGTTGTGGACAAAACAAGACATTTGAGGACGTCATCTTTCCTTTAGGAAACACTGATTGCATTTTACACAATTTCTGACACTTTGTAGACCACACAAAATAGGGTTGCAACTAACACTTGCAACCCTACCATTATGTGGGTTGTTTTGGCTATTGTACCGTATGCTTGTATTAGATAAGATAGACAAATAAGACATCTGAAGACATCGCCATGGGCTCTGTGAGTGTGTGATGTGTAAATGTTTAAACATGTACTTGAGAAATTCATCTGTGCAGTAATCAATAATGGAAAAAAAATGAAGAGTAAACTGCAGCCCTAGTTAACTTTTTTGAAAATCAATAAAATAACTTTTTAAAGATGAATTAAGAGAATGAAAGATGAAAGAAAAATCGAGGTATTCACATTTGTGCAAAACATATTTCGGAATCCGTCATTGCTGTGTAACAGTCCTGCTCATTTCATCTGCGTTCTGGATCACATACTTTTTCCTTTACTTTACATACTGCACCTGCCGTTACAAAGCACATACTGTTGCATGAAGGATGGATACAGTGGGGACATATTACTTTATCATAACATTGTGCCTTGAACTTTGACCCTCATGCTCATATATCTGTTGCAGTCTGTGGTGCAAAATTTGAAGTAACAAAAAAAAAAAAAGATGCAAATGCAGCAGATCTTGATGTTACCTTGGAGATACAATAAAACCAGAGTCGCAGGTTAACCTGGAGAACTCTGCTTTTGCTATTTTGTAGATTGTTTGTGATTTACGGATTGATTGTTGTCATTGTGGGTTCTGTCAGCCGTCAAGCTGTCATCTGTCTGCGGCTCAGTTGGTGTGACATATTTTCCACTGCACAGAGGATTGTGGGTCAGAATAGAAAGAAAAACATGACATGCTGCAGAATGTGACTGGATGCTGTAGGACTTCCTGGTATTTTTGGCATATTGCATTTGACATACTATGTACAGGGATGAACTAAATCCTCTGGTATTCTAAATAGTATGATAGTATGATAGTATGGGTACTGGATCACACCATTACTTACGTCACCCACAATGTTGAAATACACCCACAGATACTACCACAGTACAAACTATCTATAACAGTTGATACATTTATATCATCTCACAGTATACATCGTCACACTGCCAAATCCTAATCAGCTCATGTTTAGTGTCCAGTCCAACCCAGTTGGGGGTTTCAAACTGTCTCTGGTTCGCCTAAAGAAAAACCTCATATCAGCAGAGCAGCAGGTTTGCCTTCAGCTAAAGTGACTAAGCCAAAATAACAACCACCAGAACTGGAGTTCAGAGATTTCTCCCCGACAGCAGTGATGACTGTTCCCCCACTGCACCACTAGACTCTGTGGAAAGAATATTCCCATGTGACCTTCAGCAGCGACCTGACAGGAGCTCCCTCTGCACTGCCCGAAGACACACACAGTCACACACAAAATCTCTCTCGGTCTCACACATGCACAAACACACACCTACATTTCTTTCCTTCACCATCGTCCTGTCCTCTCCTCATCCTCGCTCTCAGCGGCTGACTCACTGTGAGAGCTTATCGCGGACTTGTTCTTTCTCGCCTTTTATTTCTGCTCTTTATCACAAACTCTCAAATGCGGAGAGACGCAGAGAGGCTTAATTTTAGTGTTTTCTTTTTCTTGGGCCATCACAACACTGTCATCCTAAAAACAGGAACTGAGCTGTAGGCAAGGCTCTGGATCCTCCGTGAGCTGTGACCCGTGAATATGATGGCGAGGAGAGACAGGGCTGCTTTTTGTCAGGCATCTAACACAGCCATCCAAAGTCGGTATTTAGTATTTACACATGATACACTATAGAAAGACTTGATGCAAGAGACAAAGCCTGTGCTTCTGCCATTATGTAAGTTGTTACCATAGACACAAGGACAAGTTCCTTTGTATCGTACCTAGAGATTCAGATTTTCAAGTCAAGAACAAAACACCGGTCGCTGGAGGATTAAGGATTTTACTGAGCAAATATGTATGCAGCTAAGGTTGCCCGTCGTCAGATGTATTCAGAGCAACAATCCAGTAGCCAAAGGAAAAATGTTTGGTTAGATAACCACCAGCAAATCAAATCGCTGTACAAAGTAATTCTGTTGTAAGTCACAAGAATAATTGCAGTAGAAATGTGAAATCAGGAGTAAAAGGAAAAGTGAATTTGCTTTTATTTAGTGGTTTTACCCTCAGAAGCCTCATGATAAATGTTTCTTTGGATCAGTAATACCCATTGATCCTAACAGCTGTGAATGCACACAAGCATGAGCCGCACAACAGATTGAGTGCACAGCTAGTTTGAAAATTGGAGTCTGTCTCGGTATAAATTTAGCATTTTTCTAAAATGCAACACAGAGGCAAGTTTATCTGTCTTTTTAGAGGAAATGTTTAACATACAACTGCTCGATTGTGGCAAAAAATCATGGTCACAGTTATTTGGGTCAATATTGAGATCACGATTTAACACAATTACTCATTGACTTTGAAAATACTGTATTTATTTATTGAACTTTTTTTTAAATGTCTTTTTGGCAGTGCATTTTCTTGAATGTAAAATACATAATAGAAATGTAAAAAGCAGAGTGCAAGAGGAGGGGGATAGAAAACACTTTATCTAGCAAGGAAGTCGCCATGTTGGCAACACTGGGTGCACAGTTGTAAAGGAAAGATGTGGGCTGAAATTGTAACAAAGACAAAAGCGAGAACATCATTGCAAAAGAGAATGCAGCACAATATATTTTTTTTTAATCTTAATTATCCTGTGTTCATAGCATTGGAAGCCAAAATCGGAAAAGAATCCTCTCAGCTCGTTGAACCAGCAAAGTTGTTTTACTACATTGAAGTTAATATTACAGACCAACCCGTACAAGTTGCCTGCTAAATTTGACCTTATTGACAGTGATCATGCAAGTGAGGCAGATCTGCAAAGGCTTCCCCTTCACCTTCACTAAAATCAGAAAAAGTGAATACACTTTCATGAAAGAAAACAGTAACCCTCAGGGGAAAAGAGCTACTGTTGTCTTTGTTTAGGCAGCCATCTACAAGCTAAATGGATCAAGATCTGGGTTTCCTCCCACCTCTGCTAAACAGTTAACAGGGGGCACCCTGTTGCTGACATCCTGTAATGTTCCTTGTTGTATCAGGGAAACAATAAAATTAGCAAACTGCAAAATCCTGTCCCAAATCTAGGCCTGGAAGGGGGGCTAATTGTGCCAGCGTGCTATCTTTCCCAGCAGACATCAGATTGAAACTAGCCTTTGCTCAGGTTGTGTAGAGAGACAGAAGAATCTGAAGCTGTATCACACAGAGGAGCAGTTCAGCCTGTGTGTGTGTTTTCTTGTCTCACTCAGGAGGGAAGCTGATTTTATCCATGCTGGATGGAGTCCCCGTCTAATCCACTGGCGTTAGTGTGTACCTTGTCAGGGGTTCTTTGCTGTTTTTAACCACCCCCACACACACACACACACACACTGTCTGGCTGTGTGTGACTGTTTTAATGAGATTACCAGCACCTCAGCTGCCCTGCCCCCCTCACCGAACCAAACCCAAAGCTATCTGCCGTTAATGCGACCCAAGCTGACCTCAAGCCGTCCCACGCCAATTACATTATGCAGCT